TGACCAGGTGTGAGAGACCTTTCTGCTATGGAGGAGCTGTGCGTTACCATCATGCCTTGGCTCACCAACCCAGATGGCGACTTGGCGGACACGTTGGCCATGCTCCAGGCCAAAGCTGAGCAAGAGCCCAAGAGCGCAACTTGCGCAATCATCGGCTCCATCATGTGCGGGTTGGAGCTGCTGTACAATCCGACACACTCTGGCCTTGAGCATGTCACCTCCATCGCCAAGTACTTTGCGTTTTGCGCTTCTGATCTGCGATTGCCGAAGAAGGATTTGCCCAAGGCGCTGACAGACCGCTTGGACAAGTCCGCGAAAGACTCCCGCCTGAGCGTGGACATGCCACCTCCGCCTTCGCCGTCTTTGAGCAACGGGCGTCAGGGCAGCAAAAAGGTCAGCGCGCCGCCAAAGGCGAAAAGCGCAGGGCCAAAGGCCAAGTCTGCCACCAAGGGTGCAGGAAAGCGGTAGGGTGCTTGGGTGATTGATACGGGCTCGGTGTTACTGTCATGGCGCAACTTGACATTCAATTTTGTTTTGGAGTACTGTACTATGAAACAGTAATGTTGCAAATCCGCTCCAGCGCCCGTGGCCTGTTTAACAATTAATTGCTCCGCTAGAGCCGCTTGCTGCCACTTACTGGCTGGTCACTTTCTGCATCACGGATTTGTCAGAGTACAATTCATTTGAATCTAGGTTTCTGTTGCGGAATCGCAGCAAGCTGGCTTTGGCACAATCCATAGATCAATCCAGGATCTAGGCCTAGGCGATCTAGGTGATCTAGGTGCGAATTTGCAGCCCACTGAACTGATTTGAATCAGACGTCGGAATCACAGAATGCTGCAAATCCAAGCTTAGAGCACGCACGAGGAGCTAGCTACAAGCATGGGGCAAACTTCGTGGTGCAAACAATTGCGGAGGAGGGAGGAGTGCCATTGGTTTTGACTTGCAGGGGGACGTTTTTGAAACTTGTACCAACTGTTGCCAACTTGTATCATGTATCTCATCGAACAGCCTAGTCGATTTCCCTTTCTGCCATTTAACCTGATTAAGTCATGAGTCATAAAGTCATAGTTTTAAACAAGTCATAGAGTCATAAACTCATCAGAATCATAATGTACATCATATGATCATATGACTCAAACTTATGACTCATGACTTATGAACTTATGACTTATACTGACTCTATGACTTATGACTTATGACATATGACTCCTTATGATTATGACTCCTCTTATGACTGTCATAACTTATGACTTATGACTCATGACTCAATTGTGATTTACGAAAAAAATAACTTATGACTCAGATTCATGACTCTATGATTATTTTTTACAGTCTTGTCTATCGACATCGATATGATATGATATATAATTTACATAATTTAATGTATTTCAAGTGTTGAAATACAGACAGACAAGCTTGGACAGATTGACATTGACACAGACATTGATAAATTGACAAACAGTAAGACAGACGCGGTAGGACAACGACAAGCACCGATCGGTTGCGCGGTTGTGCCTTCAGACTTCATGATTCATGATGTTTTGAGCGTAATCAGGCTTGAGAAGAGACGTAGTAGAAGTAGCAGTGTAGCAATAGTCTCAGATTAGGTTTTGAATGGGATTCGATCTTTGCCCCACCCCCCGCCCTGATAGGCGCTGTCTGGGCGAGCTGGCGATGAACTCACGCCTGCGCGGCGAGCGAAGGTTGCTGCGTTCAAGAAGTCGTTGGGCCACGTCTCGGACTTTGACGAGCGCCCTGGCTGCAGCATGACTGGCAAAAGATGACAGAAGACCAGAGTACTGTTGGACAGATTCTAAGCCCGAAAACCAATGACTCAATGATCATGAATCATCATCAGTGATCAGGGTATCATTAGACAGACAGTAGACAGTGGTAGGGTCTGGTAGAGAATTCCAACAATGCGATCTAGAATGAGATCGGTTTGCAAGCAGCCGTAGCCAAGGCACACTTCGTGGGCAAAGTCAGTGTGGCCCAACTGGCGGTCAAGGATCCGCCGCCGTGAGGAGGCTGACATTGATCTTATCTACCAGCACGCGAAGGCCAAAAACATGGACACTCGCCGCTTGCTGGCCGATGTTACGAAAAGCTATGAACGAGGCCATTTCCGTGCAGACGGTTTGTGCCCTGCGTTACTCTGGCTTGCAATTTTGGCTTGGCGGGTGTGTTGGGTAGGGCCAAGATAGGCTAGATGGTGGGGCGTGCGGCTTGCCCAGGCTCACCACCAATTCGCGCATCTACAGCTTTGCCACAGGTAGCCTACTGAGTGGAGCTGAGCTCCTTCTGGTGTTTCCTGGCTGCGAGTGTGTGTGCAGGGATGAGGCAACTGTTATGTGTCAAGTACTGGCCCGAGCCTAGGCAGGGGTTCAACATCAGCCGGATCAACTTCGAGGGCTTCACTCGCCCTAGCTTCTGGCCGATGCTAGCTGGCAATTGCATGTCAGTGCCGGTGGTGGGATCATTGCTGATGTCAGCGCTTTGGCTGCGAGCGATCTGCAGCACTTGCTGTTATTGTCATCGTCATCGTGTGGGCTCATTTTGCGCTCCAGGACTCCTGACTCCTATCGCATGCCGATGCCGTTTTCAACGATTCCTTTCAGATTGGAAACTGTCAACTTGTCAACCTCCGTGTTGCTGTCAAGTTGACTGCAGCTTAGACTTTAGAAGTAGAAGAGGAGTTGGAAGTAGAACACTTAGAACTTAGAACTTCTTAGCAAACCTTAGAGATTAGATTTAGAACTTGAACTTGGAACTTGGGATTACTTAGGAGCTTAGGAGTTAGGACTCGGCAAATCATGACGATGTAGCTTATTGTATTTTAACTTGAATCATAATCAGAATCATTAATCATGAATAATGAATCATGGATCATAATGAATCATAACCATAACTACTCATCGAATCATTATCATGAATCCTGAATCCTGATTCATAATCACCACGCCACTACTCATGGCTCATGACTCATAACTTGACCCATGACTCACATCATAACTTAACTTAACTTTAACTCACTGTTTAAAGTAACTTAACTTAACTGTTTAGCGGTTGAACTTGTTTTCACTAACTAACTCTTTAACTCCGTGTAACTTGAACTCCGCAACCGAGCGATCAGTGGTTGACCCCATCTTGTTCTCGCCTGCTGGTCACCTAAGGCATTGCTCTTTCTGAACCTGCCGGGCAAGCGTGCGTGGCGCCACGCTACTGTGCCAAGTGCGTTTTCTAGCCAGGCTTTTTCGCAAGAGTCACTGCTGGACGCAGCCGAAGAGGCCTCTGCGTCGGACGGTGACGGGGAGGATGAAGGCGACGATTAGCTTTGCTGTGAAAAGCGCGGCGGTTGCTACATTGGTTCTCAACCAGTAGTAATACAGACAGTATACATCTCATCACTCATAACTTCCCCCCTGATCAATGTGATGCCACCCCTTTTTGCCATAGCCTTTTTTCATTTGATGCTCATTAACACACTTTTGCCAACCATTCTTGACAGCCGCTTTAGCCCAAAAACATAAGTTCACGGCATGGAACAAACTTTCGGGTGGTTCGAAAGACCTTTTTAAGCCAACCCCTTTTGCCAAGCGTTTATGCCAATACTTTTTTCAGTGGGCCAACATTAGCCAAAATTCTGGCCAAGCAATTTGGCCGACACTTTTGCCAAGCACTTTTGCCACTAAAACCCTTGACGTGTTAACCATTCCGGGGGTTCTTCAACAGAAAGGCATGTTTGTTTCGTGTTTCTAATTGGAAATCAACAGAAAACAGAAACCTATTTGGGGGGGTATAAACAAAGACACACTCATTTGAGCAGTGTTTTAAATCTAGTTGCGACCGAAGAGAAATATCAAATCCCGTCCGTAAAGGCTTCCGCGGCATGAAAGGTTCCTTCCGCAAGAGGTGTTGAAGAGGGAATCGCTTCCACGTCGCTTCCGCGGATTGAGAAATGGAATTGAGGTTTGTTCTCGCTTGCGCGCTTGAAGGAAAAAACTGCAATTGCTTGTTTTCGGGCAGCTTCCGCGAAGCTTCCGCGAGTACATAAATGAGAAAACCTTGCGCGAACCTTGCGCTGCTCTTCCGCGACCTAGGACAATTCAACATTGTGAAAACTATATTTCCTGCCGAGTACTACTTTGAAGTGCAGGCAGGGGTTGAAGAACGTCGCTCATTTAGATTCAGCACCAAGGGGTAGCGTCAGATTTGTCCAACCTCGACAGGCCGGATGAGCAGCAATCACTATGGCCGATAGTCGAAACTGCCTTGGGAGTGTCCCTCAAAATGGGGGACCGAAAACGGCGGTTTCCTTTTGGCATCCTTGCAATCTCAGTCTCTGCACGCATATATATGTGGTATGAGCTGTTAAACTCAGGGGCCAATGAATTGCGGTGTTACTCCATCGGATGGCTGCCAGGCTTTTTCTTTCCACTCTGGAACCTCACAGTCTAACTGGCTTCCTCTCACTGTCTGACACAAACGCCCCGCAAAAACAACATTGTCAACTGCTTGTGGGCCATATTATTCGGACCACCCACCTCGACTTACAGACTTGCCTTTGTGACCAAATTGGCCTTAAGGACCCTACACGGTTCAAAGCAACCCCAGCTCGTGTCTTGCCGTACACACGGGCTCTCCAGAAGGCCCTTTCCGGGTGGTTTGTTCCCTTTCAATTCTCCCTTCAAACCCATCAACCAAATCGGCGGATTCCCTAAATGGTTCTCTTCGAAAGCTTTCTGGAAAGGAGAACCCTTCAATGGGGAAGCTCCAAGTGGGCTTCTCTTGAAACCCGATTTGACATATCCAATATCAAGGGCAGGTAAAAAAGAGAGGAGCTACAAGGGGAAGCACACTGCCTCAAACTTTCGCGGAAGTCCCCAGAAGGCCTCTGTACATGGAACCAAGTCTTATCAAGGGGGCCGGGGAGCTTCCATGAGGCTGGGGGAGAGTGTCAAAAAACAAAGGGCTCCGCGAACTTCTGGTTCGCAAGCCTTCCACTCGTCTCGTTCTAGCCTCAGTTCCTTCCATGGACATGGCCAGGGCGGCCGCCAAATCGTCGTCCATGGCAGCCAAAGGGACTGAAGGGGAACAGGTCCGACCTTTCTTGGTGTGCGGCATTGTCCTCATATGTCACATTTTGAAGCCAAAAAGGAAGGCATCGTGGAATCATCCGGTTGGCTTCGGGGAAGTTGCCCCGAACAATGAAAGCTACGCATGGTCCGGTTGATTGCTAGGGGGGATCCACACCATTTTCGGGGGAAGCGGCGGGCAATGTAACATCTTTACTGTGCAACTTAATGGGATCTAGGAAAAAATCCTGAGTCAAGCCCCCCAGCGATGTAGTAGGCAAAAACGTTGACTCTTACCAATGGGTTTCTCTACAACTCTATGCTTTTTTTTTGAACGTCGTCCAAATTCATCAAGTCCTGGACGTGTCCCTAAGGGACCATGGTTTGTGTCTATGCACCACCCGCAGGATCTGACGCATTCGTGTTTGCCATGTTTGTTTGCAGCTCGGAGAGCGACGGCGCAGCTTCGTGGACCAGTTTGGGATATATCAAGTTGGGTTTAGAGGGGCTCCCCCACAAAGATTAGATTCCTTTTGATCTCCCAAGCAAGCTCCCAAGCAAGGGTACCCTCAACAAAGACACACTCGTAGGGGCCAAAGGTTCTCCGAAAATGCACTGAGTCAAACGCTTGAACATGACAAGCTGCGTTTCGGCTTATACAAGGCATCTGACCCTTGGTCTGCTCGGACTCTCTTCAGAAGTCGCAGCAACATGACCAAACATCCAGCAGGCCAATACCGGCGTGCTGAGTGCTGACAACAATCAAGCGGCAATCACAAATGGCCAGGGTCAACGTGCCAGCCATGTTGGTCTATGTTTCTTGGAACGCCTGTCAGTGGTTTGCTATTGAATGGTCGGGTGGGAGCCCCACCTAGTTCTCCAACCCTTCACTCGTTCGGGCTCCTTGACCTTGTTTTCCAACGCCGCATGTGTGTGTGTGTGATCTCAGTTGCATATGTGTCATGGCCCTACCTCGTTTTGGGGGTGCTCCCTACCTCTTTTTGCACCTAATTCAGTATGTTGCCCCAACCCCAATGTTTCCGCCCGGCCTTTACTGTAGTTCTCTTTAATAAAGGCAGTCACTCATATGGCCATGGGTCAAAATCCAAATCGTACCCCCAGTGAACATCCCAATCCAACAACTAAAATAGCAAAAACATGGGTGGTGAATTCACCTACCAACCAAAATGGGATCCTAAAACGGTTTTGACAACCACAGCCATATGAGTCTTTGTTTTTGTCGATGCCTTGGCCCTTGGCCCTTGGCCCTTGGCCCCGGGCAGCTGGTGGAAGCCGGTCACCTGCCATTGACAACTGCACGTCCACTCGGTTGCTTGCTCTGCTAAAAGCTTAACTTTGTAGCTGGTTTAATGGGGAACCCATTAGTTGGCAAACAATTGAAGCCCTAACATCCAAGCAAGATGCACCAAAGATGAATAGTTTATCAAGCAACAAGTTGGAAGTCCAACATCATCGCACCCAAGGGGAGCTGAAGTGAACGGAAGGCATCACACCTCCTGGTCCTTCTAGATCTGATTGGGGGGTGAGGGGTTTGTAACAGCATGTGTGCGCGCAAAGCAGAACTCTGAGTACATCACAAAGAAGGTGGCCTTGAACTTCGCGTGCAACATGCACCCAGGGAAAACAGAAGGGAACACACCACCGAAGAGGGGACAGCAATCAAAGAAAGGGACAGCAACATAGGTGTCCTTTTTGGGAAAATAGATGGCTCTCGTAGTTGATTGAACCACCAGGTAAACCAGGGCCCTCTATTTTTAAACCAAATCAACCAAAAAGGACACTCATGGACAACAAACACCCACTCGACTTGAGACCGCCACTGCAAGGGAGTTTCTGTGCGCAGCGGTGAACAGCCCAATGCCCAGCACTTCCAATTCGCCGACCCTTGTGGCTGGCACCTGTACACGCTGAATTTTGTTCTGCACATGATGCCTTGCATGAAGCAACAGTTGTCACAGGATCCTTGAACAAGAGAATCAGCATCTCACTTGCCCAAGGGGCCAAGGTCAACCTTTTGACAAAACATGGGCTTGCGGAACCAAACGGTCAAAAGCTCGGTTGCTTTGGGCAAGTGAGACCTACTAGAAGTGTTCATGGCAGCATCTTGCAAAAGCCTCCGGTCAATGATTGCCATTGAAGGCTCCAAAAGAGAAGGCCCTTGATCGCCCATTTCCTGGGCAGGTCCACTGACCCAAAACTTTGCAGCAACTTTGCAAGCGATTCTCTGGATTCCGACGTGGAAAACCCGCGTCTCCTTTGGCCGACAGAAGGGCCTTTGCATCTCCGAACTGGGCCAGCCGGGGCCACATCAGCTGGTCCCCGAATGCGGACCGTATTTCCTCAAGGTCTGCTATTGCATGCCAGTCAAACCACAAGAAGCAAACCGAAAGGCCGCAAGCTCGTCGACTTTCGGTTGGGTTCCCCTTCCTTCAGGAAACCAAGCGTGACGATACCCTCTGGGTATCACAGCCCCTGGTTTTTTTCTTTTGGCGGATGAGGCCCGGGGGAGCCGGCTATGAGCCACCGGTACGGGCAACCCTTCGACGACGTCCTGCTCCCCGTGCTTGGCTGAGGTATCCGCCGCTCTCAGCATCCTTCGCCCCCCAGGAAGCGAAGACACGCCATGGTGGGGTCCAAGATCAGAAGGTCCCCCGCGAGCGCGTAGGCGAAGGCCAAGGACAAGACCTGCGGAGTTTTGCAGGGCATAACCTATGGCTCCATTTGGCTGTGGGTCACAAATAGGTACCCAAATGGAACCCTGGTAAATGGAACCAAGGACTAAAACCTGCGGTCCCCTGGTGGCTGACCCATACCCATTTTGGGGTGGGTCAAAACCCCGGTTACCCCCCAGTGAACATCCCAATCTAACCACTAAAATAGGTTCAAACAATGGTTCTTGAATTCACCTACCAACCAAAATGGGATCCCGTTGGTTTTGACCCACAGCCATTTGCATCGTACTGTGTGTGTGGCGTGTCTTTGTTTCAGGATGTCAAAAGGAAAAGCAAAAGGACAATGGGCCTGTTCCTTTTTTTGAGGGTGCGGCGCAGGGTTCCCGGGAGAATGGACGAGCAGGGTACTTGTTTGTTTCGTTTTCAAGGAAGGTCAAGGAACACCGAAGCCAGTTTGAAGGTCCCCTAAAAAAGATACACCCATGCAACAAGCCCTTCTCGATAGTGCGTTGGGGGACAAGGGGGCTTGCTCTATTACCGATTGACCAGGGTGTGGTTGGATGTGTCCACTTGAATACAATTTTGGAAAGTGTTCCCTTGCCATGGAAAAGTTGTTTTGATGTCACTTGGGACTGCCAAGAATCTCCGAAAAGCAAACTCACTTCCTGAGAGGATGGCCCAAAAACGGTTCCTTTTTTGTGTGCCACTAAAATGGTCCAACCCCAAAAAGGGACGAAAGTCCATGACCTCTGGAAGTGAGGAAGCAAAAGGACATCTCGACACGCCATTTCTTATACCCGACGGCGGTTTTGCGTCATCTTCCAAAAGCCAAAGGAGCAACAGGCCCTTTCCCCACAACGGGAACGAGATGCCTTCGCGATATATAACTTGCTTGCTTCTAGTCCATATTGATAACTTTTGTTGGGGTCGAGTTTTATTGTCTGATTCCTGGATGCTTACTTCGATATGTATAGGCCCCGACTCCTCCCTTTGCTTCAGTCCGCGAAACACAAAAAGCAACACATAGCTCGAGCAGGCAGATTTTCGCAGACGGAAGGCACGGGCTGCAAATTTCGCTGTGGGTCAAAAATAGGTACCCCAAATGGCTTGCTTTGGTAAATGGAAACATGGAAAACCTGCGGTCCACTTCCTGGTGGTTTCATTTTGACCCATACCCATTTGAGCGTATTCTTAAGCAGATGGAAGACATGGGATCCAAATGCGTCGAATGCGTCGGGGCGCCACCAGTGCCCAAAGGGCATAGCTTCTGCGGTGGGACCACTGCTGCTTCCGGCGTTGGGCCGCAGCCTTCTGCGACGGCAGCAACGGCAGAAGGACCAGCGCTCCTGGCTTTACTGGCGCGAAATGGGTGTCAAGGGGGGCTTACCCGCATACATACACTAAATATGTAGCATATATATACATATATATATATATTTACATAATTATATATATATATATATATATATATATATATTTATATACATATAATTATATAATTATATATATGTCCATATATAGCAATATATATATATATGTCTATACATAGCACATAATCAAATATACATAATTATTCAGAACCCCCTCTTCCGCTGCCCCGGTCCCAGGGAGAAGCCGTAGGAGACAACGTAGGACAGCGCCACCGTGCGCCGGAAGGATGGCGCGTCCTCGATGTAGTTCTGACGCTCCGTGAGGGAGGGGTGGAAGACCGTGAAGATCTGATTCCTTGCGACATCAGGCATGCGTGGTAGACAGATGTGTCTCCTTTTTCAGGTTGGACCCACAAAGTGGTGCTGTTCCTTTTGGTGTCCCATATCTTGGTTGCAAGGATTGACCCCTCTGCAGAAAGCTCTTTTTGTGGAATCAATGGAAAACACTTGATGTACCAAAAAAACTAGGTCTAAACATCCATAGCAATGATGAATGGATCTGTGCTTTTGAGGCGCAAGAACATGATCCCTTTCAGGTTGGTGTTTCAAGGAAAATCAAAAGGAACGCCACAAATTGTCGGGCACCCCAATTTTCACACATACTCAAATAGGAATCTCAGAATAAGAATAGGAGTAGGGTGCTTCTGAATATAGAGGTCCCGGAAAATGGGTGATTTCAACGCTTCCTTTTGGCTTCTCTTTTCCTAACCAAAGGGGGTACACCATTTTAAGGAGAAACCCCCAACTGCGACCATTTCCTTGGGTTTCGAAGTTAGGTTTGTACAGCCCCGAACCTTCCTAAGCGAACCGCCTCGGGGCTTCTTGCACCACCCCCAACGATTTAAGCTGGGGAACAAAAGCACGATGCAACGAAAGGCTGGGAGTGTTGGGAGTAGCCCAAAAACCGGGAATAGAAGACACCCAAGAAAGAGGGCGCTAACCAACAAACAAACGAAACAAGTTTTGTTTTGAGGGCAACAAGCCGCACCAAGGGACCCAGCCGGGCCTCGTCCATAGAACGCGACTCAAATACCAAGCAAAACTAACAGCAGTGACAAGTTGCCTTTAACCCAGCTGGGGGAACATCAAACATATTGGGAGCAAATGGAATAAAGGAGACCTAGCATGTGCTGTTTTCTGAACATATTGCTCCACCTTACTTTGTGGATACAGTTTTCCTCCAAAGATGGTTGCAAGGATATACAAATTATCCAACTAGGTGGTTGCACGGATTCTTCAAAGGATGTGTTCCATCATTTCACCAGTTCTTCTAGCTATCCTCCAAAAAGGTGGTTGCAAACTCGGTTGCTTTCTGCTCCCCTGCTCAAAGCTTAACTTTTAGTGGCTTAACGGAAACCCACTACTTTGCAAAAGGTTAAAAAAGTCCCAACATCCCTTGGCAAAATGAACCAAAGAAAATTAGGGGTCCTTCATGGTAGCCTCTTTAAAGCCAGCACAAGGCACCATGGTCCAACAAGGGGCCCATTTATTTGACAAACCCCCGGCGCCCAAAAATCTCCCGGCGAGGTGCCCCAGTAGGATCGCCAAGGGCTGACCCACCGAGGCGATGCTCATCACCAGCCCCGAGACCAGCGCGCAGTTCGACTCGTCCGCCACCTGCGGTTTGCAGCGCGGCGCGGTGGAAAAGCTGGCGACGCTCGTCGTCCATGTGCGTTTCTGCCCCATCGAAAATGAACATATTGTTACAGGAATGGAAATAAAACCAACAAGGGAAACCTGAAAGTGGGAAGGACTCCACTCAGGTTCCGCATTGTCAGGACGAACCACTGTTAAGATGTCCATTTTAGTTGTTAGGATTGCTAATTGCAGAGTACTTGAGATGTTGGACAAGGCAGAAAAACGTTGTTGGGTAGTTGCAAGGATTGCCAATTTGGGGGGAACTAGTGGCTTCTTAACATATGGTTCAAACAACTTCCGCTTGGTTCCAATTAAAAGGGGGCCTAGTGTCTTGCTGAAATCCCTTTTGGCAACCCGGGAGAACCTCCTGCAATGGTGGGTCTCCTTTTGGGTTCCGTTTCAAGAGGACTCCTGCAAGGATCTGCACACATTGCTGGCTGTCTCAGACCGGAATAAGGCACACCTAGTGGGTGAACTTCTGTGATACTACTCGAAGGCCCCCAAATAACAGACTACTTCTCCAGTGAAAGGGGAGATTCCCTGCGTCGCAGGGGGAAATTTCTTGGGGGTTTGGGGTCGTGCTGTGTGCCCTGCCCCACCTCGTTGACAAGGAACGTCTGCACCAAGTTGCTCATGGCAACTGGCACGTTGGAGGTGATGGGCTCACCTCAGCGACAATCACCAGGAACCCCACCTTCTTTTTGGGACTCTCTGGAAAGGAGTTGAGTGGAGTGAGTTGAGTGGAGTGAGTTGAGTGGAGTGGAGTGGGTGGAGTGCGTGGGGTGAGTGTGAGTGGGGTGAGTGAGGTGGGTTCAAGCGGCTCGCCCCTCCTCTAAACTTTGGTTTGGGTTGACAGCCCTTTATTGAGCTTGCGCGGGCCTACCATGGGCTGTAATGTTGACACCGGATAAGTCAACTTGGTGGACTAATACGGGTGTGTTTCCCCAAAAAGTGCAGGATGTCCTCTAAAATGCGACATCCCCTATAAATCCACCATGGGCTATTAGCAAAGACCACGGACTTCCTAAACATGGCAAGTAAACGCAAAGAAACACGATGTCCGTTCCCCAACCCTCCCTGATGACGGATCCAGCGCAGCCGGTGCTAAAGGCATGGATGGCAAGGGCGCTTGTTGTGACTTGCAGCAAGGGCCTTGGGCAAGGGAACCTCTCCCTCCATGCTGCCGCCGCCGGAGCGCACGATCCGCGATCTCCACGAATCGCCAACTCCGGGGCCAGGGGTACCAGCGAGCACTACACGGGCAACACAGTTAGCAGGGGCGCTTTTTGTGTGTCTGGTGCAAAAGTAGGGAATGTGGGAATGAACCCATGCTTTGGTCCCCTTAAAGGGAACAATAGGGGATTGTTTATAGGGGTCATGCCCTCATTCCCTGCTCAGCACCAGCAAGTCTTTCAAATAACGCGGGAGTTGCAGCCCAAGGCAAAACTGGTGCCGGGCATGCCTTGCGAGACCGACAATGTGGCACGAGCTTCTGCAAGGGCAACGATGCGTGGACCAACGCGGGTGCCAATGGCAACAAGATGATCTCGGAAAGGGTCTCAGCAAGGGCCAGGTAATAATAATAATAATAATAATAATAATAATAATAATAATAATAATAATAATAATAATACTAATACTAATAATAATAATAATACTAATAATAATAGTAATAATAATAATAATCATAATAATAATAATATGAATATCGCTTCCATAAACGTGTGACGATTCCGGATAGAAACTGGCTTGTGCTCGGAAATCTCCCAGTGTCCCATTTGCTCCTCGGTAAATGGGACCATTGCCTTGAGATGCTCATCTGCTCACAACATCACACCATGCTAATGAAATGCCGCTGGCAGGCCCAGGTAGAAGTACTGATTCCGAATCACGTCGAAGATGGTCAGAAACCTTGGTGAACGTTCAACCTCAAACCCAGGATTCAAGTATGTCATTCTTGGATGCTCAAGTCACTTAGCAGAGTTGTATCCATTATGAACAGAACTACACGTGGACACAAAACCATAGTTCTAGCCTTATTTAGTTGGTTGCCCACCCAAGTCTTGTCATTTCGTCAATTCAAAGGGACACGTTGGTTCCTGCGTTAGTCGATAAGATGTCTGTCCCAGAAACTGGGCCAGACTTAGACCCCAAAGGCAGCGGTTGGTGAAGAAAGGGGAACCAAAGGAACTTCAATAGGCAAGTGGTGATGGCACTTGGGCTCCCCATTTCGGTGCATCATTTCTTCGGGACCCAAAATTTCAGGGCTTCCGTGTGGCTTCATTTCAAAACCAACTAAAACAAAGCGTATCCTCAAGCAAAAGACACCAATCACGGCTCGGCCCCCATCCGGGCAAAACAGATGCGTCAGCTCTGTCCCAGAAACTGGGGCACGCTGTCCAGCGCCACCGTGGCCAAGGTGGTGGCCACGATGATCGTCCTAGGCTTTTCCGAACATCGGACGGCGGTCGGCGTCCCAGCGAGGGGGTTGGCCAAAACAAGCCGAAGCTTGTTGTTGACCATGGCTTACCTACAAAATGGCCAAGCGAAAAAGGTACCACGTCCATGAAAGCGGGGAGTAAGTCCATGGGTTCAACCTGCGAAACCACCCGCTGGTCTAAAGTCGCCAAAACACCCGCGGCTTGTTTTGCAGGAAGCACTGTCGGGCTTGTCTCAAAATGGAGCCCTCAAAATGGGTGTTTCGCCATTTGGGCGTCCTGGTTTCTTTGGGCTTCCCTTTAAACCAACCACAAAAAGGGTACCAAAACAAAAAACAAGACAGACCCAAGGAAACAAAACCCAAGTTGTCCATTCCTTTCCGCCCCTGCCGATATGTTTTCACCTTTGACTGAAAAATGGGAAAAAAAAAACGACACGCGCACACCCACACACACACACACACATAGGACACAGGGACACAGGGAGACAAAGACACACACACACACATCTTCCCCGAAAGTTGAAGGCAACCAATCCAGCCAAATGGGTATGTGCCAACATTAAGTGACCTCCAAGATTGCGGTCTTCCTTTTGGTTTCTCTTTGAGACCCCTCAAAGAAGGGTAGCCTCAAAAAGCTGGCTCTCCTCCAGTTGCATTGCAGGAGGTACTTCTGGGTGAGCCAGGTGCCGAAGAGTGAAACTAGCACACCCAAGAGCGAGAAGAGCTGCTTCTGCAGCATCTTCACCTGAAAAGCGCCGGGCGCCATCGACCAGACGTGCGGTTGTGTCCCGATCATAGCTTCATATTTATCTATATAAATCCGCGTTTGTGTGCTCAGGGGTGCGCGTGTGCTCGTGCAGGTGTCTGTGTGTGTGTGTGAGAGAGCGAGTGTGCGCGCGCCTGCAGGTGTCTGCGTGTGCGCGCACGAGCGTGGTGTGTGTGTGTGTGGGCGGGCGCGTGGGTGTGGGTGTGGGTGTGTGGGTGTGTGGTTGTGTGGGTGTGCGGGTGTGTGGGTGTGTGGTTGTGTGGGTGTGTGGGTGTGCGGGTGTGCGGGTGTGTGGGTGTGTGTGGGTGCGTGTGGGTGTGGGTGTGGGTGTGGGTGTGGGTGTGTGGGTGTGTGGGTGTGTGTGGGTGTGTGGGTGTGTGGGTGTGTGGGTGTGTGGGTGTGTGTGGGTGGGTGTGGGTGGGTGTGGGTGTGTGGGTGTGTGTGTGTGTGTGTGTGCCAGCGTACATGCACGTGTGCGTGTGCACGTGTGCGCGTGTGCGTCTGGTCTACCTTGAATCTTACACAAACTGAGTTGTGTGTCAAAAAAGTGGGACATCTCTCTGATTGGTTTGTTGGCTTTCTTTAAAAGCCTGCACTCAAAAGCTCAGCTTTAAGGCGCATTTGTCCGCTCCCAAACCAGGCCGAATCCCTTGACGCATTTTGCTTATCGGAAGGTTGATTGAGCGCCCGAAAGACCCATTGACCTTTCTGCCAACGTGGTCATAATCCAAAAACGCGGTTTTGTAAAGCTTCCTGCAAGCCCTTGGAAGTATCAAAAACTAAACCGTGTGCTTAAGTCCCCTTTCAAACAACAAGTTGTTGTTCATTTTTCCAGTGGTGGATTCCCCGCAAAGCCATGAACACATCGTCTCAACAAATGGGAAGGACCTGGGTTTAGTCCGTGCTCTTTGACATCCCACCTGAGCCCACTCCAGCATCACCCAAACCGTGGCATTGGTGTTGATCAGGAAGATGCTGCTGCTCAGGAAGAAGTAGAGGCCGATCGCACCAAAGGCCTTGCTTTCCATCAGCTGCAGGCCTCAGCTGTGGGATTTTATCCCCAAAACGCCGACTCTTCGGACAAAACATGGGCTGCCCTCCCCGGTGGGGAGCAAACGCCGCTCTGCTAAAGAGCGAAAGAAAACGACTAAGCGCTTGCCCAGGGGAAAGGAATGCACACAGAAAGAAGACACAGCACGTGGCTAAAGCCCCCAGGTCGCTCATCCGACCCTCAGCCAAGCAGATGTTCACACGTCCAAAACACTTTTGACCGGACACATCCCCTCACAAATCCGCCAGGTCCATACATGCATGTTCAACATTAGGCGGGGGTGTCAAAAGACCTCATCTTGATGGAGAACCCTTTTGTGGGCGTCATTTAAGTTGAAATGCATGTCCACCGCTTGCCAGGTGGTTCCGAATTTAAAAAATCATAGCCATCTCAAACCTGTTGCCGCGTTACTATCATGACAGTAGCTCCTCAATGAGCTTCTCTCCATCAAGGGCTCGCGCACATACAGGCCGCTGAAGAAACTCGTGACGCCCGCCACGGCCACAAACACAGTGCAGTACCTCTCGGGAAGAATGCATGCAGTTCCTTGCATTATCGTGGTTTCCAGCCATGACCAATCCCTGCTGTTCACCACCATGTTCTAATCCGCAGTTGCTTCCATCATGTTTTCCGGTCATGACCATTCCCTGGAAAACCAACCGGGGTAAAATCAAAGGTCTTTCTCAGCAAATGGGCCTTGGTAGCTTACTTACTGACGTCTGTCGAATTTACGGACCTGCAAACAACACATAAACAACATGTATTGAGCTGAGCGTCCATCGCTGGCATATCGCTGGTTTGCTTTTGAAAACGACAACGCCTTGCGGCCTGTTCAAGAACCCCCCTGATGCCTTGGACTGTGGTGACCAAAGAAAAAGCTCAGACTCTGTTTCATATTTTGTCCACCCTATTTTGTCGGAACCCCCTTAACCCAAATGGTAGTCCTTTCGTCTTCCCTTGAGCGCACCCCAAAAAGGGTACCCTACAAAAACACACACACACACACAGGCTTTAACAAACAGGCTTCAGCCTTTTTCAGCGGAATTCCCAAACTCCCCCCCCCCCATCCCCCACCCCCCCCCCCCCATCCCCCACCCCACCCATCCCCACCCCCACCCCATCCCCACCCCCCCCCCCCACCCCCGGCCCCTACACCATTCTTGTTTTTTCAGGTCACTGGGAGAAGCCCATCTGCGTGCGCTGGTCGAAGCTGCCGGAGAAGAGACGGCCGTTAAAGCCGAAGGCGGCCAATGACACCCCGGCGAACTGGCCGCAGAGGTTCACCTCATTCGGCAGAAGACTAAGGATGAAGCACTCTCGGAGACTGTTTTTGGAGGTCTGTTTTTGGAGGTTGCTTTTCTCGTGTCTTTTTTGTGAAGAATGTTGCATTGATTTTGAACAACCCAGACAAGATGTTGCTAAACGCTCACGTCTCCAAAATGAAACCCCCCAAACTGGCTGTCATGTCGATTTCCCCTCATTACCGTCCTTCGATCTCAACCACGGTGCCCTCTTCCAGTGTAGTTTTTCAAATTTTCTTTAGGGACCCTTTGGACATCAGAATTCGCAGAAAAACGTTTCGCCAGCCATTCATCGCCATTTGGGTGTGCCTTAAAACCGGAATTGGACACCCCACATGCATTGTGGTGTTTCTTTTAGACCCCCAAAAAAGACACCTCCTTTGCTGGCTTACCCCTTTCTTGTGGGAAGGCAGAACAAGGCGGAAAGGGGAGTTCCCTTGATGTTCCCTTGAAGGTCCAGGTGGTTTCCTTGAAAACAAACGAGAAAGGCTCATTCGAGGATTCGAGACAAATCGCCGAGGAGCCATGTTCATTTGCGCCTGAGCGCGCCCTCGCTCGGCCTCCGGCTCCGCCTGTGCAGGACTTGTCATCGGCGTCAAAGGTCTCCAAGGCGAGTTTTGCTCGAGCTGTTGGGGCTTGGTGTAAGGGAACAAAGCAAAAAACACATACACCTTCAAAACACATGCCTCCGGCCATCCATTGCAAACCAAACGGAAAACCAGAAGGAAGGACCCCCTGTACCATGCCAACGTGCAAACATGCCAACGCAAAAACCGATAGGAATGATGTTGCATACAATATATATATATATGATACATATCGCACCTTGCTCATGGGGAACTAAATTGCCTCAAATTCCAAATGAGGGGTGGGCCAAAGGGCCACCCTTTTCCCTCATTCCTGGGAAATGGTCCCTTCAAGCGGACTTCCTTCTTTCAAGCCTCTCCAGGTGCCCTTCATTTGTGGCAGGAAGGGTCCTACAGGTTCCTCTACAGTATAGGCATGCCACAATTGCTCCAAGGCAAATCGAATGAGGGACACAAAACGAGTCGTTTAATTTTTCATGGGCGGTTTTGACCACATAGGCTTCCGGGTGTTGAAGAGACGGTCTGGACACCGCCGAAGAGGGCTTCCTTTTCAGGGTGCATTGGGCAAAAGTCCAAACTTGTTTTTACAATTGCAAGAATAACAAATAACAAACACAAGCTCTCTAGTCTAACCACTTAAGAAGGGACTTCGTCCCATGGGTTCCCGAATGTCTTCAAGAATGGAAACAAACGTGCGTGTCTCTCTTTGGGCCGCCATCCAAACATGGTGGCTTTCCTTTGGTTCCCCTTCAAAAGCCACAAGCAGCGGGAACCCCAAAAAGCAAACAAAAAAGAAAAGAAAGAAGACCCTCACAACTTCGCCTTGCGCAATGCGTATGGCATTTGTTTGAGCAGGGATCCTTACATTATACACCTGAACATTGTCTTGTAAATGGTGGTGCCCATTTATTTTGGTGGAGAAAGCCATGTTTCAAATGGTTGAAACATGTATCATTTAAGGAGCCCTGTTGAGGCGTGGACCTTCGCTTTTGTCCCCCGGCGTTCCTTGGCGTATTGCACCATCAGCCCGTTGCCCGCGGCCGAGGAGAGGCAGAGGCCAACGCTGGTGAGGAAGAGGCACACCATCAGCGACACGTAGGCAGTGGCCGCTTTGGGGTTGCAGGGCTCCTGAAAATGGCGATTTTCGGGTGCCAAAATCACAGGGAAAAACCACCCTTTTCCTGGTGACCTGGACAAAATACAAGCCCTTCTCCTAAAATGGCAACAGTTTCCTTTGGGTTGCCCTGTGTTATCCGACAACAGAAAGGTGGGCTTGTCCGGAATCATGAGTAACATCGTGGGTGCCAACGAAACAGTTACTGTCCTGTCCGCTTGGAACTCACCAAAGGGTCTCTTTTAGAAGAACATTCTCTTGGACGTCTTGTCATGTTTCATGTTTGCACGCGACAGTGGTACCCTTTGCAAAGGGGCAACAGTTTTCCTGCAAGGCATGATCATTGTTAGACCTTCCTCTGCCAAACTTTGGAATAAGTGATTTGCTGGGAGGTAGCAGCCACTGATAACTCCTGGCAATCAGTCTGCTAAAGGCTTGCCTTTCGCTCGCTCAACATGCGCTCCCGGATTTTCTCACTTGCAGCTGCTGTGGAAGAATTGTGCTGCAAACAGCTCCACCCGTATTGCGGACTTGTTAAAACCCCATTCAACTCCACTCCAATACTTGCCCCACTCACCTGACGTTGCCCTTCAAAGGCTTGGATGGATAATCCACGAAGCCCATCAGCTCCCAAAACTACCCAGGCACCAAACGAGCTGTGAATGGACTCGTTGTAAGGCCTCACACTTCAGGGAAACCAAGGTCCACAGGGCCCACGCCTTCATTGGAGAAACCCGGAACGGCACGGACAGGGCTCAAGGGCATTCCCCGACGCCCCACTTGTCAATGTCGACCTTTTGGATGGGACAACTGCAAGGTTGCCCGTCGATTCGTGTGAGCCATCACACCGCAACCTAAAGCACGTCATCCGGAAGAAAGCTCCCCTGTTTCACTAACTGGAGCCAACCACAGGCTGTCTGTTAAACCCAATTAGGTCGCATGTTGTGGATGTGAGGGCATTGGTTTTAATGTTGCTCCTCATGCACTGCGCGTCGTGATCATTTATGCATTCCACTGGATTGACTAATGGACATGCAAGCTCAAAGAAAGCAGAAGGACCTGAGGACAAACACCAACGCCTACACTCTGACCAGCTGGAAAGCAGGCACGTCTGCAGAACTTTGTTCAAGCCAGTTTTCCCCAACCCTTTGACAGTAGATTTAAAGCGGTACCAAGCCCTTGGACAGTGGGCAAAGGGGAATATGAGGTTTGAAACCACCCAGAGGAATGTGATTCTAGGCCAATGATGATTGATTTTCCCTTTGGTCGTGTGCTCTCCTGCAAATTCACGGGGAACCCAAGGAGGCTTCTCTCACTATGACGGTCTTGATTTGCAGGCGTGTAATGTTAAAAGGCTACGTGCCTTTGTCTCAATATATGGCATTCCGCAAAAGATGTTCTTTCCCCTTGGCTCCCCTAAAACAACCACGAGAGGGGAACCAAGCCACAAGAAAACACACGCCCACGGGGGCCCTACAGAAATGTGGCTCCCCCGCTTCCACGCCTGCGTGTAGTCGTAAGTACCATCCGCAGCATGGCAGTAGTACGGTGCAGGCAAACCTCACATGAACTGAGTTGACTGGTTTCCAACACTTGGACCAGTTGAAAAGGCTGACATATATTGAAATACAATATGATTAAGACTCAATAGCTTGGGTTGCCAACTGGACAACTGGTGCTACCAATGATGGCTACAAAGGTGGATTGGCCCCATAACGTCCATGCAACTTGAAACGGCCAAGGAGTTTTGCCATTGATCGAGCGAGCGCAAAACGTATCAGTTGAGCAACAAAATCGGCGTAGTCGAATCAATCCACACATCCTCAAATTGTCAAGGAAGCATAAATCCCAATAACCTGAACAAACAGCATCACGTCATGTCAGGATCCCAACCCTGACGCTCGAGGTGACACCAACAAATTGGCTCAGATGTCCGGAAACATAAAACGAGGAAGCTCTTAGATAAAGCGACTGGCCCCCTTTTCAGGGCCCCGTTTCCAGCAGGTTTCCGGCGGTCAGTCCGGACTGCACCGAATTGAGGCGCCTTGAGAGCGAGGTGCCGAGCCACGCCATGACCATGAAGGACAGAAAGGTGAGGCACCAGCCCAAAGCCATGTAGGGCCTCCTGCGTGGCGAAAGAAAAAACACAACAAACAAGGCCCCCAAAGCCGACCACCCCCAAACCCGGGAAAAGGAAGTGAAGTGGGAAAGGACGTGTGAAGTGAAGTGAAGTGAAGTGAAGTGAAGTGAAGTGAAGTGAAGTGAAGTGAAGTGAAAATGAAGTGAAGTGGGAGAAGAACCCACTTCACCCCCAAACCCGGTTCCAGGTACAACAAGCATAAGGCCACACAAGGCCAAAGCAAGCCAACCAAAAGCCCTCGCCCTTGCGAGGGGGGTAGGATGCTAGACAGCGCCGGACTCTGCAAAATGACAACCTATGCGAAAGCAGAAAAGAAGTGCAACGTCCCTGGAGTAGAAACTGGGACACAAGAAGCCAGTGAAGCTGACATTGGGCGGAGGGAATACACTAGATGCTCCATCAAAAGGTCCTCCAGGGAACATGCCATGGAATTTATGTGTTCAGTACGAATGGAAATTCAGGATTGCTCATATCACCGCGATCCTGAAAAGGTGAATAGAATTTCAGAAACTGCCACACTGCCAGTTGACAGGTGAGTCCTCAGTCAGGACCTATGGCTCATGTGTGGTGTGTTGACTGCTCTTTTTCATAAGACCAACGAGCCCCTGCCAATAATGCTGAGTTGGAATAAGGGACTACAATCATGCAGCTTTCAACGCTGGCAATTGCAATATGTCCTACACTCAAACAATGTATAGCAATGACAACTGCAAAAGCTGCCAGCAATCAGAGACAAATGGCAATGTCGAACACACACCACAACAAAGTAGCATGCCATGCAAGACCTATGCATCCCCATATTGATGCGTTCAATCAAGAATGGTCTCGGTGGGCTGTGCTCAAAATGAGGACCCCCCCTAAAAAAGAAGAACAACAAAGTCTTCCCTTGGGCTTGAGTGACAACAGCCCCAAAAAGGGTATCCTCCAAAAGCGACATGCGGAATGTTCAACGACTTTGAGAGACAAGGGTTGCCTGTGAGGCAATGAGAACGTACTCTGCTCAAGCACGGCGCAACATGGCGAATCGCGTTCGACTAGAAAGCATAGGACCGATCAAGGGCCAACGACCAAACAAAACTCACACCGGGCACGCAAAACTAATGACCCAGCAAAGGCCGACATACGGGACGCAAGAAACACCAAAATGTCGGGCCACGAGCATGGCTTTCAGAACCCCTCAACATGTACGGAGATCCTTACGTTATACACCTGAAAATTGCCTTGTACATGGTGGTGTCCCTTTATTGGTTGCACAATGTATCTTTTAAGGAGCCTTGTTGAAGCGATCGCTTCGCCAGTTTTTCCGAGGCGCCGATGAAGTCCAAGGATTGGCCTGGAGTCGGAGATGGCGCCCATCAGCGCAAGGAACACATTCGGCAGGTTTGCCTTGAAACGGCGTGCCACAAACACCGAGGAAGTTCAAACACACAAGGGGTCGGTCTAAGCCAACAGGGGGGCTGCATGGTACACCCGGGAAAAAGCTCCCAGGTTGACGCTGCCAACCATTTCTGCTGCAGCATCCATAGATAAATACTGGCCTTCGGCTGTGTGGAAATGTGTCAATGCAACGGGGATGGCTTACTTTCTTCGTGCACTTGGTTTGTCGCATACCACTGATTTGGGTGAATCAACATGGTATTGCCTTCCACTTGGAGCGCTGCAAGTTTGAGACCCCAGGAGATCCTTGTGACACCCGTGATAAGCTCTTCAAACGGCACACGCTTGCTCACATTGGTGCAGCGGCAGAAACACCACAACCTTACTTGCAACAAATGCGGGTCCAGGAACGCACGTGCTGGGATTCAGGGGGTTCAATTCACGCCTCTGAGTCTACTTTCAGTCTTGAGCAGCTTTGCACGAAGGAACGCTTTCTCTCGAATTTATGGTCATAAGTTGTTGGTCACCAGTAGAATTTGCTTTGAACACTCGGCAGATCACTTCAAGAGTCCGCTCAAGGAGTTCCCCCCACACGCCTCCAAGTATCTCCAAGTACAAGCCGATACATGTAGCATACAGCGAGCTAGTTTGTAGCCAAACCATAAGCTGGGTAGGTGTGGTACATTGGCCAACGCAGAAAGGTCACTTGTCAAGGGGAGCTCCCTGAACTTGGTGCCCTTGATTCAGTGGGCAGTTGGGTGGTTGACGTCGATAGCACCTCCCTAATATGTGGCTTCTCATCCCTTTTCCTTCTGGACGCGGCATTGGTGAAGTGCAACTATATTGTCACAGCACGGTGGCTAAATGGTGAAACCATGACCAGTTGCCTGGTGATCCTTGTGGGAAAGAAGGTCCCATATAGCCATGGGACACAACCCGAACAACTTCTGTAATTAACTGATCATGGAGCCCATCTTGGAATTGTCGTCCGCACTGTCTTGCTGGACCGAAGTTGTGTCTGCAGAATGTCCGCGGCATCTCAGCAGCAGCGGATGGCGGGGTTTGCAAACGTATGGTCGACTGCGCGTAGGGTCAGTTGCTTGGAAGCAGCTGCAACCTGAGACGTCCTTTTGGAACAAATAGGTGAGAGTATGGCAAGTATGGGTGGGTCGTGTCTTGAGCCCCTCTTTCCGCAAAAACAAACAAACAAACAAAAACAAAAAGAGAACGCATGGTGGTGTTCCTCGCGTTTTCCTTCAAAAACCACACAAGAAAGGGCAAACCCCCAAAAAAACAGACCGGTGCAGTGCAAGAATCAAAATGAAACAGCACCCCATCGATTCTCTCCTGGACACCGGTTGGCCAACCTGACCCTTGTTTCAACTGCTCCATCTGGGTTTGTCTTTCTTTGAGGGTTCCCCTTTTGAAAGTGTTTTTGGAGGGAAGCCAGAGAGAAAAGCCGCGCTTTTTGTTGAGGTGTCTGCTGAAATTCACATCTTTGGCACAGCCCGCAGCATCAGCCTGGGTGCCACGTTGAAGCCTGCGTTGGAGATGTGGCTGGGTACATTCAGATACGCCGCGAAGACCCCGATGAGGATGGCGTTCATGCCCCCATAGGTAAAGCCCTGCGAGCATGCGTTTCCAATGGGGAAAGAAGATCTGGCGCCCTTTCTTTGATTGATTTCACAGGCAACCCTTGCCCAGTTCCCCCAGTTGTTCAGTCGAACTAACTGGACATCAAAAAAGCAAATCTGTTGATATTTCCGCGATACTGGTAAAGTGAATCTCTAAACAGCAAAAATATGATGTTGAACCCGGATGAAGAACCCTGTCCCAAGAAGAAGGGACCATGCCACCTTTTCACCCACCAGGGCTTTACTTAGATCCGGGATTTCCATTTATCTCACTTACTGAGTGGCCTGGCCCAAACAAGTCCTTAAGCTGTTCCACTGAAAGGGGCAATAGTGAGCAAAGTCCGAAGCAGAACTCAGGGAGCGAGTTATCCTCAGGACCCCCAAAACATTCTCAAGGGGGACTCCTACTCCGGGCGTGGCCTGCGAAAAGAAGTGCAGCACCAGGCCCACGTTCCCCAAATCCCGGAAGCCAAGCTTGCCGCCTCGGCTTTGCGAATCGGGTCGGCCCCGCTTCCCTTTACTCAGCTTCCGACTAAGTGGGTTGGAGCCCGGTTCGGTACGGATAGGCGCTTTTTTCTCCCCCATTTGCCGAGAACCAGGGGTGCAAATCCAAACGCCAATCCAAACACCAATTTGGTGTTGCCTGATTAAACATCGACCCAACAAAGCGAGGGCTGAGGCTTGGCCACAAGGAAATCCACAAGGCGGTGTCCCTTTTCAAGTCAATTTCTGTTTAGAACTCGAACCATCTTGGATACGAGAGTGTTGCCCGCATGCCATGTGCTTGGCTTCATTTGGCTTCGTGTTGAACAGCAGTGCCATCTCCTGACTACCAATCCCCCCGGCGCATGTGCAAACAGGCGAAAGATGTAGTTTAATTGCGCGCCCACAGAATTTGAACACTTGGACATCATGGCTATGATAGATCTGCGTGTTTCAGCAGACGTACAGTATCTGCACAAGCACCAGAGTGTCAGGGCAACCCCCCCCCCTCGCCTGCAGGGAAACTTTCGCCACATTTAATGTTTCGGCAGCGCTAGCAGAACGTCAGTAGGCCCAACAAGACGTCACACAAGCCCATTTTTTGAGCCCGCGCGAATCTGGTCGATCGCATCCTTCCATCACCCGGCGCACATCGCTCATGGCACGGGAGATGCCTTGCACGGCGCTGCGTTCTCGTGAGCGCCGTGTCCGCTTGGAGGGCGGTGTTGAGGTGCCCCGCGCCAGAGAAAACCTTCGAAGACGTGGAAGGGGGTCAACGGCGTCCGATCAAACTGGGCTCCCACCCGCCGCGGGAAGTGTCTCACAGCTTGCGCCGGAAGATGCTGAAGCTGGGCCACATCTCCAGGCCATACGGCCCCTCCGACCAAATGCCGTCCGCAAGAAAGCGCTCCAGCTGGTAGCCGTTGACCTCCCCAAAGTCAAGTCTGTCCAGTGAAATCCCCTTTAAGCAAGCTGCAAAAGGAGACCCCCAAGCAAGTTGTGCTTGTTTGGCAATGAATTTGGATGCTGGACAGGCTCCCAAAAGAGCAAACAAGAAGCGACCAAGCATGTTGGGGCTTCTGAAGTCTCGAACCCCACAGCAACTATTGCAAACTGAGCTTGAAAATGGTTGGTGGCTGAGGTCTCCCCTATACTTCGCCATGAAGAAGACGTGAATCCCCTTGGAGAGCCAAAGTTGAATTTGCCTGGCGACGCAACTGACGGAAGAGACCCACAAACGCGGGCCCGAGGATTTCCCAACAACGAACCACTTGGAATCTGACCGGAGGCACACGAAGGTGCCAAGGATTCCAGGGCAACATGGGACGGTAGGAATCACATGACTCCCGTGGGGAGTGCCGCACCAAGGACTCTTCTTCTGCAACAGGGTGTTTCAGGGCTAAGTCACAAGGGGATTATTTTTGTCTTGTGGACTTGTTATGCTTGGCTGTCCAAAAAGGGAACGGAGGAGTTGTTGGGGCTTGTTGTATGTTAAGTCCGCCCACCAAGGCGCTCGTAATTTCGACATGGTTGTTTTTGCGGGTCCTTCCGGCAACCTGTGGAGAGTTCTGCCAACTGTTCAATCCCATGAACGATCTTCCTAGTGAGTCTGTTTCAACGCCCGGATCGGTGTGCTCGCCATAGGCAAAGAATTGGGGTCGGGGCACCCCAATGGTGTGCGTGCTTCCTCTCAGTCTCCCAACGTGAAACTGAGACTGAGCCTCAAAGAACGCCAGCCCGGGGTGCTTGACCAGAAGGGTGCCTCAAAATAGGGCTACCCGCAAAATGGCATCGGTGTTCCTTTTCCCTCCACAAACAAGCGACACCCAGATTTCCCCGTACATGAGGGTTGATCAATATTCCTGGCACCCAAAACACCAATGGAAAATTTCCCATTTACTTAGTTGTGAAATATCTTCGTTCTTTGTGGCTTTCCCCAATGGGCATTCCATGCTCATCGGACCTTTTGATCAAGCCCCACATCTCCTGCAGCACTTTGAAACCATGGTTGTGGTTGAAACCACAATGCAACTGTTGGTATTACAAGGGAAGCACATCATTCTGTTGGGTTTCTGAGGTGGTGCCGAATTTTCTCCATCAGATTTCTCTTCCCGCCGCCCCGCCCCCACATCTCCCTTCGCCTCCAGCCACTCGGACATGGCGGACTCTTTCAGCAGCAGGCCTCCCCAGAGCACCAAAATCTCCGGCAGCGGCTGGGGCTTCACCTCACGGATTTGGTTTTTTGACTAATTAGCCGAGGCCTTTTACTTTTTGCTAGCCCCGCTCAGCACAAGCCCTCCGTCATGTGCCCCTAAAGAGGTTGGCTGGGCTGGGGATCGGGTTGGTTGGCCGCATCCCCAGCATCACGGACTAAGGCTGCCCGGTGCAGTTCAGAGTTGCTCGGGGCTGGCTTGGGGTGAGTGTTGGGCTTGCTGAGGTCTTGATGAGGGCGGGTCTTGGGCTGCATTCAGGCTCGTGCCGAGGGCTGATATCGAGGATGTGGTTGGGAAGGTTTAAGGTTGCATTGCTCCAAACCACCAAACCTCGCCCAAAACTGGCTCAAACCAGCCGCACACCTAGCGCAAATTAGCTCCAAACCAACCAAAGGCGACTCAAAGTCAACCTTAAACCCTCCCAACCACATCCTGCACATCAGCCCTTTGCCAAGCCCCAAACAAACCCAAGACCCTCCCTCATTGACCCAACACTCACCCCAAACCAGCCCTCTGAACTTGGCGACCTCGTAGAGACCGCTTGGTTTTCGTTTTTTGAGGAAACTTTGTTCAGATTTTTGCAAAATAATCTTTTTTGGTATTATGGAATTAAAAGACTGAAAAACGGACCAGGGTGGATTCGAACCACCAATGACATGGGTTCAAGCCATCTGGCTGAATCAATGACGCCTTGCCCATTAGGCGACTGGTCCTGTTGTCGCCAATGCGGATTGAATTGAGTGAAAATATATCAAAACACATGCCACCAAATCATCAAAGCCAACCAGCCAACTCTCAACCACCACCAAACCACGCCCAACACGCAGCCCTGACGCCAAGCAACCGGGGATGGGGGATGCGGCCGCCCAGCCAACCAGCCAGCCAGCCAACCAACCCCGGTTAAGCCCCGAGTCGGGGGCCTAGCAAACAACAAACGCCGGTTGAGACAACCCCCCAAAAGGGGTCACCTAAGAGAAAAAACAAAAAACAAGGTCCCCAGAAAATCATCAGGTCCTGGGATTTCCGGTTGTGTTTCCCCTCCAGAAAAGGTCACCTCAACCAAAAACAAACCACCGAGGTTTCGGGACGCTTGAAATCTGCCCAAAAGAGAAGCTCATCTCAAGGTTGCCCACGTGATGCTTTTAACACCACCAACGCGAAATGCAGGGAATTCTGTCAACCGTATATGACTTGGCCAAAAATATGGGGTACACAACTCTGGTCCATATTTAGTCGACCCGAAAATTGAACACCATGTCGGAGGAGGCCCCAAATGGGTCCTGCAGATCTTACCTTTCACTTCCGATCGAGTGGATTGGACCACAACAGTACGCCCCTTTTCAAAGAACTCAGTGATTGCTGTGTACGTACGTGAGTCCTTACCTTAAGGGGGTCGCAGGGTCCGCGACCCCCTTTCTGGCTTTTCAAAACTGGGAGCTGGGATCCTTTCTCCATCTGCACGCAACGTAATCCACGTGGAATCTGGAAGAACCGTTTTGGCGATCAATTAGGCAACTTGGCTTGGATTGGTTGGAGGTAACAAACCGCAGCTGCCCGCGTTCCATGTCATGACTGTTGAGTGGAGGCGAATCAATTCAGCTTTTAGACTTGTGGTTGGGACAACATTTGCTTAAACATTCTCCATTTGGCTGCAACTCCTGGTTGTTGCACATGTTCCCAAACCTGGTAGTTAGCTTTGTTTGATGCCCAACCAACAGTGACACTTTCAGATGCTCGCTTACATTTGGCGAACCTTAAGATGCGAAGCAATGTCAAAAGAGGTCCAAGGCGGTTCTGAGCCACAAACAAACAAGTCTAGGTCCTCCAGTAGGGAGGTTAAAATAAGGGTACCAACTTTTGTTGTGTAGTCTATTTTAGTAGGGGAACCCTCCCCAAAGAAGGGTAAACAAGCACTACTGGGGGACCTAGAAGTTAAAGAACAGGAAACATAGGATGCGAAGCAATGTTTAAAGAGATCCAATGTAAGAGGCGGTTTCAACACACGTACAAAAAACAAACAAATGCAACCACCACAACTCTTTTACAACAAGACCCTCAACAGGGTGAACCTGACTGTAGGCTTCACCCCCGCCTGGTACCGGTGTTCCAGGCACTGCATGGCTCGGCCCTCAGCTGGCGCCGGCGCTTCCGCTTTGGACGCCTCGGATGCGGCGGGGGAACCCAGCGCGTCGGGAAAGAGCTCCGGCAGCACGGCCATGGGCTGCTGGAAGAAGCGATCCCGAGGGCTGCCCTGGCCTGACGCGTATTCACCGACGTACGGGGGAAGCTGTTTTCTAGGGGTACCTGCCAATTCCATTCTTTCCAAGGATCCGAATCTTTTCAGGAAACCATCAAAAACGCAGAGGAATCAGAGGTTGTTGAGAAGAACGATGGTTGAAAAGCATGGGGCAGCAACCCCTAGATGCTTGCTAAAAGCGGGTGCTCGGTAAGTGGGAACGAACCCAGTCTCCTTGAAGGAGACCACAAGCCATGGTTGAAAAACGGGTCATTCCATTTCTCCTTCCCTGCGTATCGCAGCATGACAAGCTGCTTGCTGCTTAAAGAACTGGCCTTCAACACCCTCCAAGGGCATGGGATCTTTCCCTGGATTTGCTTTGGGGAGCTCAAGAGAGACAGCCGTTTTGCACGAGCCATGGAAAAACAAAAAAAAACACGAACAAAAGGCATGGCAGCGGGCCATGACTGGCAGGCAGAAGCTTTCGAGTTGGGACAGCCTCCACTTAAGATTGTAGATGCTACACCAAACTTAGACCCCCCACAAGTCAAAAGTAACTCTGTTTGTCCCTTTCAACCATCAACTTTGGTGTTGCCCAAAAATCCCTAGATTCCTTTCCAGCAAAAAGGCCTTTTCTTGGTCGACCCACTGGTTCCGGCTTTGGTCTGGCGGGCTTTAAGCCTGGGGAGCAGTCCAGGAATCCCATGTTCTTTGTCCCGTGCACGAAGCTGTGGAAGGGCGTAGCATGACAGGCCGTAAGGAAGAACACGCTCTCCGCAGGGTGCCTTGGCCAGGTAGGTCTACTGTCTGGTGGCTTGACAGGTCCCAGGAAGCAGCAACAGGAACTTGCAGCAAAACCCTAAAACCCCTAGGTGTCCTTTTTTGGAAAATAGATGGCCCTGGTAGATGATTGAACTGCCAGGTAAACCAGGAATGGCCCTCTATTTTTCAACTGGACCAAACCAATCAAACCAAAACCTTTTTCACAAGTCATGGAACATCTCAAGAAATGAAATTGAAAGACTCTGGTAGCCGAGGTGCTGTCTGAGATGTCCCATCACCGCCTCACCCCCACGCTGATGCACCAGGCAAAAGAAAAGCGCTGCAACAGCCTGAGGCCGTTCCGGGTGGGGGCCAACTACAAACATGTGTTGATCAACATGCTTGAACACCATGTGTGAATGTGTGTGTGTGTGTGTGTGTGTGTGAGTGAGTGTGTGTGCATGAACACCCGGAAGCCACCTTTTTGTTGTGCGCCGGGGTGGGGGGGCTGTGTATTTCAAACATACCCATTTAAAGTTCCCTTTAAAGGTGTCTGTCGGACTGAACGGTTCAACCAGCTTTCCGCACCTTAAGAAAACAAAAAAAAAACATACAACCCGAAACAACGGATCCTCCTGTAAAGGACCCAGGACCCAGACGTCATGGTGAGCTCCTTCTACCCACTGGGCTCGTAGGTTAAAACCCCCCCGCCTGAGGCGCAAAGACCAGGCCCAGCGTCCATCGCCCCGCGCGCATGGCGTGCAACCCCAGCCCCGTGAGCAGCGAGAACAAGGGGAAGTGCGGCAAGAGGAAGCGATACCTGAAATCCCCCGCGTGCCCCACGCCCCCCGTGTGCCACCAGCAAAACTAACAACAAGAAACACGGGTCCACGAGAAAAAAAAAAACCATCCGCAGATTGTTTTCCAAATGCTGGCAATTCAAAGGGCGAGAAAAAAGCTAAATGTTGAGAACCGGAAATGGTCACCGTAAAACAATGGACCCAGCTAAAGGACAACCTTTTCACAAAGAGATTGATGTGCAAGGGCTGGTTTCCCATTGCCCTCTACAAGAACCAGGGGTTCAAACCGACAATCATGGGCTTCTTGAGACACAGTCCGATTTCATCCTCAAAAAAAAACAACACGCGTGCACCAAGCCAAACACACTCAGGGAACACCATGCACACCAGCCGCGCTTACACAATAACAAACGAACGAACCAAACGCGAGTGGGTTACGGCAAAAGCGAACAACAGCTAACCAATGGACACCTGAGAGTAATACCACCAAACACTGACAGGGGCCTACCCAGAAACGGACACCACTGAACTTCCGGTAGACATAGCCCACCCGAAACCAACACTTTAATATATTGAGTTGAATCTAAAGCGAGGACCCTTCGGTGGATATCATGAAGAAAAGATGATGACAACACACACACACAAACTCACAAGATCACAAAGAAAGAACAACAACCAAGCCAAGCCAAGGCCAACCAAACCAAACAACCAATGTCGCCATGGGTCACAATCCCGTACCCCCACTGAACATCCCAATCCCCACTAAAATAGACTAAAATGGGTGGTGCACCGAAAACCCCCAAAATGGGATCCCAAAACGGTTTTGACCACCAAAGCCATGTACCAAACAAACCACCTGACTCGAGCTCCAGGCCGGGCGTCTCCTTGTGAGAGGCGCAGGACAGCACTGCCAGGGAGGCGCCCGTGGCCAGCAGAGGCGCCCAGAGAAGTGGCCGCCGCAGCGCCTGGACCACGCCGAGGCAGGTGAAGGGCAGGAAGGTGCCCAGCGTCACCGCCAGGCCCTCGGATGACATATCTCGGTGGCGAAATCTGCGAAGCCCTGCTAAAAGTGACCAACTTTTAGTGGGTTTAATGCGGAAAACCCCATTAGTTGGCAAAAAGTTAAAGTCCTAACATCCAAGCAACATGCAACAAAGATATCTCGAGATCTCCATGGCAGGCACTGGGGAAGAGGGAGAGGAGCCCAAATGAGCCCGAAAATAAGAGCCTTATTCAGGGCTTGCCTGGGCTCCCTCCCCCTCCCCTCCCTCCCCCTCAGCCCTCCATGAGATATGATTTTGGGGGAATCCGCTGGGCGAAGTTGGCTGGGTCTGAGGGTGGGTTGGGAATGAACCAATGGATCCCTTCAGGAAACCATGAGCAAGACTTGACGAACGGTCAACCGCAACCTGGGATTTACATGTATGTTCATTGTTCGTCATCCGAGTCAAGTACAAATATGTGAGATGTTACCAAACGTTGACCCAGAAGAGCAACCATGTTGGGAGTTGGTCCACTTTGAGACACATCTTCTCAGGCCTCATGCTCGCCATCAAAGCGAGACACCCCCATACCCTGTATGCGCAACGGACAGCCACCAAAGGGCAAGGGACCTGGAAAGGGACGGTGCTCTTTGATTAGTTGGGTTACAACCTTCTTTGGCGTTTTTTGATTTTGTTTCATATTTGGTCTAACCCAAAATCTAACTAGAGTTTTAGATGAGACCATATCTGTTTCATGCTTAGCCTACCAACAGTTAGTATGTTTTTGGAGGGGACCCCTAAGAACAAGACCACCCCGCCGCCTTGTTAGTGTGGGTTCCCATGGTGAGAACAACCCCCCCCTTAACAACCCCGACAACCCCCGCCTCCGCGTACCAGTACCAGGGGTGGCTCCCGTAGAGCGCGCTGCCATCCTGCAGCACGTTGAACCGGAGGAAGTTCCAGGGCACCAGACAGAAGCCGCCGTAGTACAGAGAGTCCAGCAAGGTAGACACCGCAAGCACCTCGCTTTCGGGATGTCGGCTTTTTGAGGCCCTCTTTTAGAGAAGCAAGAGGAACTGGCCATCCTTGTTTTTGGGTCCCTGTTCTAAGACCAATTCATTCAGGGACCCCTTCTCTGTCTGAAGCATGGCTCAGAATGTGTGGGAAACGGGTGGTTTCTAATGGGTGAAGAGAATAGGGCATCAACTCTTGGGGAAACCTGCAGGAACCCTAGCGCCCAACCACCAATTTTGGCCACCCACCCACCCTCCCAGCCTCCCACCCTATCCAACCCTCACATTACCATAAAGTGACATCCTCGAGCTTGCCCTCGAAATTGTGGCTCACAGGCAAATCACCGCCAATCGAAATTTCGAGAACCTGGACTTCATGGAGCAATTCGAACGCCACGATCTTCAGGGCGCCGTGCCAGAGATGGACACGCCCACCAGGATCAGCTCCTGAAGCTGCTTTCTGCTGCGCCTCTTCGCCATCTCAGCGACCGCCCAGGCCAACCAAAAGCCTCGGCAATGGCTCATGGGCAGAGACCTGGGCCCATGGAACCAATATCTTCTAGTTCGCTGCACTGCTAAAATGGAAAAAGCGCACATCTATCCCAGTTCTCAGGTCAGGGCCTTGTTTTCACATATCTTGCCTGGTCCACCCAACGGGTCTCGGTCTCTTAGAGAACTCGACTGAGGGTCCTTTGCCAACCCCTTGGAGCACCAAGCCCCGATTTTACTCGTCCAAGCATGTTGGGAAACCCCGTTCGGCAATGGACAGGGCTTCAAGCCGGGGGCCTTCATGCCTGTAGCATGTGCTGCACATGAACTCCTGCGGGTTCCCTTCGAACAGGTCTGTATCAGGTCTGTGCCTGCAACTGGAGCCATGTTTGGCTTTCCAACCAATTTTGGACACACCGGGGACACACACACAAACATTCGTATTTTGTACCATGCCACCCCCACCCTCCCCCACCCCTCCCCCACCCTCCAAGCCCCGCCTGCGGCGGTGGGCCGCAGCGCCACCTGCAGCGCCCCCAGCGCCAGCGCCGCCCTCGGCGCCGAGCGGGGCGGCGCGGCGAGGAGCTGCTCGAGGCTCAGCGCCGCGAGCACCGCCTCCAGGGAACTCGAGAAGGTCCTCGCGGCGGAACAGGGCGCCCCCCTAAAATGGTGGCTGTCCCTTGGTTCCCCTAAGCCACAAGCAGCGGGAACCCCAAAAAGAAAACAAAACAAAAAACAGACCCTCACAACTTAGCGGTGCATATATGCGTATGGCATTTGTTTGAGCAGGGATCCTTACATTATACACCTGAACATTGCCTTGTCAATGGAGGTTTCCCCATATTTTGATGGAAAAAGCCATGTTTCGAATGGGAGCCCTGCGGAAGAAACGCCTCGGGCGACCGCCCTGGTCAGATGCACTCCCTCAGACTAACAGCCGGAAGCTCTCAGAAGGCCTTTGTAAATGACACCCAGTCTTCCCGAGAGGTCCTGGTAGCTTCCATGTCAACCTAAGGGAACCAAGGCTAGGTCCTCCAGATTTGAGAGGATAGAATAAGGGTCCCCAACAGTCTATTTTAGTAGGGTAAGACGGCACTACGGGGGGATCTAAGAAGGGAACCAAGGGAACCAAGGGAACCAAGACCGAGGAAGCGAAGAAAAACGAGGGAACCAAGGAAACCGAGGAACAAGAGAAAACTCCAAACATGCCAAAAGATCTTCCAGACACCCAAAAAAACGTGGAAACACACACAACACTAAAGCCCTTGGTCCAAAGGAACAGCAGCATTCACTCAGTTGCCCAAAGGACCTGGAACTAAAAGGTTAACCTTTTGGGGCCATGACTAAATATGGACCAAAATTGGAAAACCAAAAGGTCAAAAGGTCGGCTTTGAACAACTGAGTTCATAGCAAACGCCGGACAAATTGAAAGCTCGTTCTGGTCAGATACCAGAATTTGATCGGGGATCCCTTTGAAATCTTATGCATCGACAATTTGCCCAAAATGACCACGGAAAACACGGCTGACCAAGGGAGAATGGGCGCGGTATGTCAATAAGGGGGACCCTAAAAATGCGTAGTTTCCCGTTGCTTTCCCATGAAAGTTCAAACCAATCCCCAAACAAGGATACCAACTCCAAGAATCACAGCTCCAATTGGAATACCCCACTTCCTGTGCCCAAACTATGTACCACTAAAACGGTCTTCCCAGCCAAAGGAAACCTGCTACAGGTTGAGAAACCTCCACTTGACCACACACACACACACGCGCAAACACAGCTGCTTAAGTCCCCTGGGAAAAGAACGAGCATATGTCCACTAGTTGCACGGCGTCCCTTCAAAACCAACAGGGGAATTAAATACACATCTGCATTTCAATCCAAATGGAAGAACCGCTCCCCCGCTCAACCCCCATTACAAGCACTTGATGACAATCTCTTGGTACACTATGGTGGTTGTACGAAGCCCTTTTCATTGAAGTGTATTTTTTCCTTCCGGTCTCCCTTAAAAACCGACCAACTCCCAAAAAGAAAACTGACACGCCCAAGTGGGAGCCGAATGTCCACTCCAAACAAAGGGGGGTGCCTAAAAAGACAATGACGCGCGCACATCTAGGTTTGGATCTCAACCCCCACTCCATTGGCCCACATGGGAGATTCATTTCTCTCTCCCCTTCAGGTCTCTTATCACGGGTACCCCCCTCCCCAGTTCGCCCCTCCAACCAAACACCGGTTGCTTTTTAACGCAGATGCCCAGCGGCCAGGGGCTGAAAATTGGGGTATCCTTTTTTTGGGGTTGGTTTGAGTTTCAAGGGAACCCTTCCCCAAAAAAGAGAATGCCCGAACAAAGGGGGGCGGAATCCACTGGTAGGTTTGATCGGCACGGGGAAACCCAAGCGCCCTCTCAGCAGGTGGAGTGCAAACCAACCGAGCTTTCATGGCGCGCTTTGCGCCCGAAGCGCCCTCCTCTCCTGGAAAAACAAAAGGGGAAACCTGGACTTTTTTCTCCCTCTTGGTCTTTATGGTGGTATTCAGCCCCTGTTTTGGCAACCACGTCCCCATCTGGCTGTGGCTCAACAAACCGGTACTAAAAATGGCCCACCCTGGCAAATGGAACCAGAGGATAACACCTGTGTACTCCTAGCTCCTTCATTTGAAGCCACGTGCCCATCTCCTGGGCAGCGCGTAGAGTTGGAACCAGCCGCCCAGCTGCACCGCCAGCACCGCCCGGGCCAAGCCGTCGCCCCCCAGCGCCCGCGCGGCGCGCCAGAGGGCGCCGTCCGCCAGCGAGGCCAAGGCGCCCTGAAGCAGCCGGGGGCCGTAGGCCACCTGGGGCTTGGAACTTTTTCATTTTCTTTTTTAAAAATATATATATATATATATACATTCAGCGCAATGCAGCATCGAGTCTTTTCCTAGCCAGTGTCTGCTTCACGGCCCGGCGCACCGTAAGTGCGTCGGTAGCCCCACATGGGCCCCCAGACTGGGGCGGAGACCTTTGCGTTTCCTCGGGAGCGTTGGCTGCGCACTTGCAGCGGGAGACATTGGGGCGACACCCCGGGAAGCTCCAGAAGCAACAGCCAAGGCTGCTGGCTCTGCTGCACCAGCCCGGTGTTTGGGCCGCCACTTGCGCCCTCCAGCCAACAGTCGGACGAAGACCTCCGTGTGCCGCAGCTCCTCGCCAGCATGAACAAAGGTAAAGTCCTCCGGTTCCGCCAGGAAAGCTGCGGCCTCTGCGAGGAAATGGGTCGCATCAGCCTGGATGCTGCCAGCTTCCTGCCAGGTGCCGTTGCCTTGCTCAAGCAGCCTCAGAATGCCCATCCGGAAAGCATGCTTGACTGTCGTGGCCTGCAAGTACTTGGCGCTGTGGTAGCGCATGGGCATCAAACTCTGCCCGTCTGCCTTTTTGTCGACCCAGTTGCCAAAGGCCGTGAGCTCCACTTGCGAGATGGCCGCTAGCGACCCCCATGTCACGCCGGACTGACGCCAAGACTTGGAACTAATCAAGGCCACGTCCCGGGGGTCGACCACCTTGACCAGGGACAAACGAACGGCATCCTGCGCCGAAGGCATGGTCAGCAGACTGCCACTGCTGGCGTGGAGGACCAATCCAGGCTGCCCAAGTCGGCCACGCCCCTGCATCAGCCGCAGGAGCGCCGCGCCCAGGTCCCAGCCTGTGGTGGCTAGCATGCGGGGGGCTGACCAAAGAAAGCCGTGCCGCTGCCCTCGCTGCTTGCCCCGCTTGCAGACAAAGTGCACAGTATGCTGGGACAGCTTGGTCATCACCGACCGCTGCAAATGCTGCCAACGGATGCAGCCGAAAGCTTGCAACCATGCGCCAGCAAGAGCGGTCCAGCTTGGATCCTTGGCTTCACAAGAAGCCTGGAGTGCCTCCTCCAGGCACCAAATCATGGCAGGCTCAGCCACGGGCGACTTCTTGGCACCGTGCCCTAATGTCGAAGATCGGGGCCTTCCACTCATACAGAGAATCAAGTCGAAGTCAACGTAGAGATTCTTCTGGATCCATTTCAAAGCTGGCAGCACCCGCGATTGGGAGCGGGACTGCATGAAGAACGCCGCCATGCGAAAAGCCGCCAAACTGCTGGGTGCCATATCTCCCCGGCAGTAGTGGTCGAGCTCGGCCCAAGTTCTGGCAACCCGATCCAGCGTAGCAGGCTCAGTAGTGCTCAGCAGCTGCTGCACCACTCCTCCCATGGTGGTCTCTATCTCGCACCGCTTGTGAGAGGAATACCTGCTTGACGTGGCCAAAATGCGCATACGGTGGCGCGCGTTGGAGACCACCAGTTGCGCGCAGGCTCCCGAGCTGGCGGCATTCACCACCGCACGTGGCATCACCGCCGAGGCCGGCCGCTCCCTGGGGGCTGCCTCATCAATGACCCGGATGGCATACAGGTCTCTCACCAGACCGCCAACACCGGCCGCAACGCGGGCCCGGGCCGGAAGCCAAGCAGTGCAGACCGCAGTGCCCGCTTCACAGGTGGCCTGCTCTTGGGAGTCGAACCAGTAGGCCAGGTCCGCCTCCGTCTCGATGCCCATCTCCTTCGTCCAGCGGGCCACCTTCTGCTCCTCAACCAGAGCCATGGCCACGGAGTGCTCGACGCGAGCCATTGCCGGGACGAATTGAGGAGACGCCTCAAAAGGAGATGGACATTTTGGCCTCGAGCCAGAATGGCCCATTACACCTGACATTGGCGCATGAATGAATGCAGCTCACCAACCTGCCCATGCACAAAGCTGGCAAATATATTTGTGTTGAAAGTTACTTTTCTTGTTTGACTTACTTTGTGGTTGTAACAAAAAAACGGTTGAAGTGTTGAGATGTTGCTGCTGCTGCTGCTCGTTGTTCTTTTCTTGGCTGAACACAACCGGAACACGTGGCATGCGGGCGGGAGGCCCACAGCCACCAGCCACCGAGAACCCAACGAAGATATTTTTCGGACTCCCCCGACATGGCCTCAGCTCCCCTTTCCTTTTCCTCTAAACCCAGATAAACACTGCCCCCGCACCAACTCCAAAGGACACGTGGGGGTTGATCAAAATGCCTGGCCCAAATGGAATGATGCGTAATTGTTCCCCATGTGGGAAGAAATTCTCATCTTGGTGGTGTTCCCCCACGGCCATCCCAGGTTCATCAGAGCTTTTGACCAACCGACGAAATCCATTTCGCGCCAAAGAACCTCGGGAATGAGGGAATTCCCCAACGCAAATATACCGCAGCAAACCTTTATGGTTTGCACCATGGTTTCATTTCGTGGTGCACCTCGTCCATCCAAAGGTACTCTTGTTTCAAAATAATGTTGACCCCGGACGACAAACACCCAGTTTATGAATAGGGGGGGAGCTCCCGAGTTTATGAATAGCTTATGAACGGATTCTGTCCAGTACCAATTTCCGCTGGCCGCGCCAGCCAGGGGCTCTTCGGCAGCAGCGCCAGCAGCGCCCAGAAGAGCCCCGGGTGCAGCACGCCGCGCACGGCCATGCAGGGCTCCCACTCCCAGGTGAGGTGCCCCTCCTGCGGTTTTGCGGCCAGCGGGGCCCATGCGCAAGGCCCCGCCCATTTTGGGACCAAAACACTTTTTGGAAAACCAACTTCGCAACACTTGGGTAAACACTTGGGTAAACTTGGGAAAAAAATGGAACCTTGGGTAAACAAATAGAGAAAACCCATAGAAAACCCAACAACAGCGTGGCGAAGGCCTTTTTGGGACCGGGGGACATCAAAGTTGAAAACACTTTTTAAGGAACCTCGAGAAGGGGAAACCAGAAGGTGAAAAACTTACTCTTTGGAAGCTTGACTGAAGAATAGAGGGGAAAACCAAAGGGTGAAAAGGTCGATTCGCTTTGGAAAGTGAGGACTTCATGTTGGTCTCTCTTTAAACCAAGCTTGGAAAAGGGTGCCCTCAAACTACCAACGAAAACAAACCACACAACCACGCACGCGTATAACGTAATTTTGAAGCATACATTTGTCTCCTTTCAATTGAACACCAAAAGAAAGACATCCTCTAACCTCAAATGCCCGGTGGATTTCCACAAAAAAAAAAAGAATCGTCCTCCTTCTTTGGCTGGTTGAGTTTGAAGGTGAATCCCAACCCTTCCCCCCCCCCCAAAAAAAAAAAAGGAAGGTGGAAAAAAGGGGGCGGAATCGAATCCACTGGGGCAACACATTAGATACGGATGCCCCGCAAAACCACCAAAACACTTCTCCGCCTGGAAGAGCCAGGCATGCGCCACCTCCGGGCCCTGCCAGTACCTGACAGAAAGCTCTCAGCGTTGACTTAGCTCTCCAGCGGAAAAAAAAAAAAAAAAAACGCTTGGGGCGTGGGAAGATGGAGGGCTGACTGCCTGAAAGCTTTTTTCCGGGCCCCTTGACTCTGGGAGATGGGAGAAAACCCAGCCCCAGCATTTCGCCGAGGCATAGGCATTGGTTGAAAAAATGAGCAAACAGGGTTCGTCTCGCGGAGAATGGAAAGCAAACATTCCGTGTGTGGCTTCCTGCTTTGCTGGCTCCGCACGAATGTTCGGGATTGAACACAGGGTTCCAAGCAATGCACACAGAAGCTCCAACACCCAGGTTGTCCTTGAGAAGATGGGTGGCAAGCAACCTTCAAACTGAAACTATTTGAACTCATCAGAAGAACAAACAAACTGAAACCACTAAGCAAAGGTCATCCAATCGGAAAGCAAAACAACAATGCTTCACGGTGAGGCACTCATCCGGGTTGAAGGAGGTCCGCAACAGCAGGGCATTCACCAAACGGAAGACCAAGAAGCACCACATGTCGCCGATGCCATTGGATTCTCCCGCTGGGGGAATCTGAAATTTGGTGTTAGAAATCGGGGATGGGCCAACAATGGAAGGGGGGGGGATGGCAAGAGAAAGGTGGTTTCCTCCCTCTTGGTGTCCTTTTAAAACAAGCTAAAGGGTACCTTCAAAAAACATCCAAATGGGGTGCGCCAGTCTAAGGCGGGCTTCAACACTTCAACAAACAGGATGTACATGTGGGGTTCCAAGGGTATCGCCGTGGATTGGGCGCTGTCAGGAAACCCCTCCGCTATCATCGATGCGGTGTTCTGCAGGGCGAAATGCGTGAGCTCGCCGATGGCGCTTGGTGCAATTTGATTTTGGCCGATGGTTCTTGTGCCCAGCTTTGGTGTTCACTCTGAAGTCATTAGGCTGGTTTGTCTGGTGTTTGCCCAGGGAATTGGCTTGGGTTTGGATTCCATGTGCATCAGGCGCGCGGCTTTAGGCTCCAAGGCGCTCTCTTGAGCCAGAGCGCTCTGAGAAACCGACAGAGGTGGTACGTATGGGTCCTGCTTTTTGCGGGAGATAACGACGTGTTGGATGCCAATGGGGGACCAAATGGAAACCAACCTTTTGCGGTAGGCCGCCTACTTCAAGACACAACAAGTGGCCTGCAGCGCTGTTGGACCACTGGAGCCAGTGTCGCAAAGGCCCAGCTTCTTACATCGTAGCAGTGACCCGGTAGGAAACGGGGCTCGCCAATTTTCGCGGTTGACCTGGTAGGGACCCCAAGTCGCTCGTGGCGGAATCCACTCTGGGATTGGCCTGGGTAAGCTGCACTCGACTGGATGTGCCGATTTGTCCTCCTGGCCATGCATGCTTCACTTCGTGGCCAGCGCAGGAACGCGCTGAATATGGGTCAACTGAACAGTTGGGGCTCAAAGGACTTGAAATGAGGGGTGTTCTGCATTGAGAGGCACTCCTTTTGATGGGCATTTCAAAATACAGAATTCGTTGCATTGCGCCATTCAAGGGAACTGCAATGGGTGTCCCAAATTTGAGGGGCCTTCTTTGTCCTTCTTTGAAAGGATGCCAAACGAAAAGCAACTCGCAAGTTTTGAGGGGGTATCCTCTTTGAATAGTCTCATCCGGGACCAACATTTATTCCAGCATCCTTGTGTTTCCACGCGCGCTCCATCGAACTTTCGAGTTGCCGAGTCCAAATACGTCAACCTGGTCAGAACTATGGGCCAAGTGATGCCCAAAGTGATCTGGATCACCCTAAAACTCAGTTCCTGAGTGGACTAGCCAAAACAAGTCCAAAATATTCATTTACCATCAAATGGTCTTCCCAAAAGCTTAAAGTCCAGGAACTCGAGTGAGAAGGACTGCCCCAATCAGAATCAGCATCAACCATGGGGCTCACTACTCTCATTTTATCCTGGGTTCCTCTACCCACCAACCCACGAAAAGGTGCCAACGAGGGTTCAACCTGAGGTGCCACAAGGTTTGGGTTAACAACAAACTGATCGCCATGCCATATTCGGACAGCCCCCATCTTGGCCTCCAAATATGTCACTATACTGACACATACCCATAGGCCGTGTAAAACCTCGAGGGAACTCTCCCGCCCCTCATTTTTGCGTTTGTTTTTTTGGCGGGTCTGAGTCTGAGTGGCCATAAAAAGATACAACTCTATCTGCGATCAAGCCGCTGGTCGGTTTGCACACCTCGCCGCTCTCCGGCTCTCCCGGCTCCATTTCCAAGCTCTGCATGGCGGAAGCTTTCGCACGGAGATCCAAAAGGATCCCTTCACCGACTCGGAGGTAGGGTAGGATCAAGGGTCATTCGGATATTTCGATCATTTTCGGGAGACTAATCAGAGGATGCTGGTTTTTGCTGGCAAACAAAGCAACCATTCCACACCGCAAGTGATTAGTTGTTTCATACGGTGTTTATAACTTAAGCCCCAGAAAAAAAAGGCGGAAAAAACACTGATCACCATACAATCTCTTAGCCCAACTTGCTTGTCACCTCGTCCCGCCGCCAGGCCTTCCGATTCCCGAGCCAAGGCGTCGCCGGGTTGGGGCTCTGGTCACACGAAACAAAGACTTACGGGCGAGTGAAACTGAAATGGGCTACCTGGCACTCAAATGGATGATATGATGAGCGGCCTCTGTAAAAACGAGTCAAGCAAGAGGGGACAAATTAATTTTATTGGGAAGCCTGAGGCCAACGACTTGGCCAATGTGTTGCATATCACTTACAGGCATCCTCATTGAGAAGTCATCGAGACAATGTTGACCCCGGACAGCCGTCGAAGTAGGGGGTGTTCCCTCCAGTGATGAACAGCCATTGGCTCTCGGCCAATGCGATCGGGGGCAGTTCCATACCCCCGTGAGTCACAATTGGTCACAAGGGGACATCCTGCCAGAGACCCCAGGCCTCGGCCCCAAACAAAAAAAAGGTTTTAGGTCCCCACAAATGAGGAACCCAAGCAACTGCCACAAGCAACTCACGCAGAAGCGGCAAACTTGCTACTTTGATCACCGGACCTAGCAAATAGGAACTACCTGCACCCCGAAAGCAAACAAACATGGTGCATCTGAACAAGCTGTTCTGTCCGTAAGTGGCCCTGAGGGGTGAAGCTTTCCGATATCAGCGTCTTTTTGTTCAGCAAGCATGCAACTCGCCTCTGTGGCAAAAAGGGGCCCACTTAGTTTGTTTGGTGTTCAGAAGAGAAAACAACAAGAAAGACTACTTATCAGCTTTCCAGTGGGTGATTCGGATCGGTGGTTTGGTGATGTTCCCGGGTGGCCTCCCATCTACCCTCTACCAGAACCAGGAGATGCTTCAAATCCAATCCAGGCCCCACCAATCCACACCACCCACCTGAAGGGTTGTCTCTTAGGCTTCTTCCTCCCGGCCTCTTTGGGCCTGGCCCACATTGGGGCCAAAGACTTTGAGATGGCGAGCCTTGGCAAGACTTCATCAGAGCGAACCGCTCTTGATCAGTCAGGGCTAAATAGTCCGGGAAAACAAACAACACTCTAGGGGTTGATTCCCCATGCTTTTCAACCATCGTTCTTTTCAAACCAGCTGTTTCCCCTGGGTTTCTGATGGTTTCTGGAAAGAAGGATCCCTGGAAAGAATGGGGAAGTGCCCCCTAGAAACACGGCAGCACACACACACAGTTCAATTCCTGTCGGGAACACTATGCTCATTTAGCCCAAATGTAGCCAAGGCTCAACTCCATTTGCCTGGGTCCTTAAACCCCAAAGTCGTGGCTACTCTCCCTCTCCGAGTGAGACTCTGTCAATGCCTCCATCTGCAGCAGAATGTCCTGCGTGCCCCTTTGAAGTAAAAGGGGACACCAACATGACTTTTGCATGGCTTGAACACCCAGTTCCATGATTCAGGTGAAAGGTCAGCCTAAATCGAGTGTCAAACGCAAGCCGTTCCGCAAAGCTTCCGCAGTGTGGCGCTGCCAAGTTTTATTTGGTCCATGTCCACTCAGTTGCCAGACAGTTATAACAGGTTGACCTATCAAGAAACAACCCCCCCACCCTCCAAAAGTCCGTTGCCAGTTGCACCCCGCCTGGCAATCCGCTCGGACCTCCTCCAAATTGTGCCTCGTTTGCCGCACTACCGGACAAGCTGAGGGGCATTTACTCCGTTGCGGGGGGGGGTGGGGGGGTGGTGGTGGGGGGGTGGTGGTGGGGGGGGTGGTGGGGGGGTGGTGGTGGGTTGCGCGGGGGCTGTGGTGGGGGGGGGGGGGGGGTGGTGGTGATGGCCCATTTTGCGAAGTGTCAAAATAATTTCAATGGATTACTCCCAGTTCACAGGCCAACTTTTGCAGGGTTCAAAAATGAGGTGGGGACTCTCACTCCGCCGAAATCCGCAGTGGAGCTTCCAACGTCCCTCCATTTGCTTAAGTCCCCTGGAAAACAAATCAACATATGTCCAGTAGTGATCAATTCCCTTTAAAACCAAGAGGGGAAAATAAAGCACATTCTTCACCAAATGGAAGTGTCCCAGGCGCTGCAGGGCGATGATGTCCAAAGATCTGGCAGGGCCCCGGATCTTCGGAATCCCCTCGCAGAACTCGCTGAAGGTCAGGACCCCGTCACCGTCGTCCAGCCTCGAGACATTCGACACAGACAATTCACTGCAGCCGCACCCAACCCGAACCAAACATGATTGAGTCTGGTGAAGAAACAAGTGAACCTCGCAAAACTCGCATGTCAAATGAGATTTGCACATTTATGTCAGGAATGTAAGGGACACACCTCAAACACTCCGTGCAAGGGAGCTCCCCTCTGTATTCCACAAAGAGGACTTGATTTGTCCATTGTGGCTTTCTTTGAGGCTGCCATTGTTTGGGTGGGTTAAAGGGCGGAACCACAGGTAAACTTGCTGGTGCCATAGGCAGGGAATGAGGGAACGATCCCTATACATCACCCAACTGGTGGTTTCCTTTCCGGAGATATCCAGGTTCATTCCCTCATTCCCTACTTATCGCACCAGCAAGTTTTGGGCTTTGCCCATTCTAAAACACGGCCCTTCTTTTTTCGTCAGAATCCCAGAAGCAAATGGAAGAGCGTCTCTGCGTCATGCACATCCACCTCCAAGACGCTCATGTACTGGAGGATCTCCTGAAGTGCAGCTGACCGCAGATCTTGGTGAAAGCCCCCCTGAGCTTCGGAAAATGTGTCCGCCCTTTTTGCGGGGGCTTCATCACTCTTGGAGGGAGCAGCCCCTTTTTTGGGGCGCTCGAATTGATCGGTCCACCTTCTTCGAGTCAAGATTCTCTGGCTATCCGGGTCAAGAATCTTTGTTTGGATGGAGTGGTTTTAGAGGGAAACCAAAAGGAAAGCCCAGCATTTGGGGCCCGCTTGATTGGAGCTTCTAGAAATCAGTTTTCCAAAAACAAGCCCGGGATCGTGTCTCATGGCTCACAAAAAGGGGTGTCCCTCCAACAGCAGGAATGGTTGCCCAATCGAGTGGGCCATCCCCGCTCCTCGAAACGGGCTCCTAGATTGTGCCTCGAAACGGGACACCAAGATCACCAGCGGTTTCTGGAGCCAATTGCTTTTGTGAGATCTTGCGGGCATGGCTCTCTTTTTTGAACCCAGACATCGCCTACAATTTGTAGGAGACATGTAACGGACATTGCTTCGTTTATGAGTAATGTTGACCCCATATGAATAAACCCCAGTTTATTTATCGGGGGGTGTCCTGGGTGTAGTTGGGAATCATCACTTTTGGAGGGGAGTACCCCCTCAGTAATAAACTGGGGTTGATAAATATCATCTCTACTCTTGGTATGGTAGCAAAAAACTTTGTTTTTTGCAGACCCCCAGTAAAAATGAACAGAACCAACAAACTAAAAAACCGAAAACATGCCAAGAACAGCGAAGATATAGCGTCAACATTACCAAAGTCTCAATTCGCTCGGATCCGATGCGATCCGTCCGCTCCTTGTGGCTCAGGAGGCTCCGCCACTCATCCAAGTTGAGGGCACGGTCTCCGTCCATGTCACCATCGCAGAAGAGCTCCACCAACTTCTCCTCATGCAAAATCGCTGGGGAGCTACAAACAAACCACATTGCTGAAACTCAAACAAACAAGTGGTTCGGGATATGTACCCCGGATGATCCCCGGACAACCCCCAAAGTTATAATCACCAATTATAAGTTGGTATGCCCTTTGTATGTAAAGTAGCACCCTACGCATTTTTGTGTCAAACTGTAAACCCGTGGATTTCCAGTGGACAGTTTTCAACTCAACCGGAAGATGATTTGCGTTTGGTGGGGTTGTTTTAAAGGACATCGCAAGAACATTGGGGCGCTTTGGAGGGGGGGGCGGGGCCTAGCATTTCGAGGCACACAGAGCTGAATGGTCGATGGCTCGAGCTGAACTTTCTCCAAACTGAAAACCAAAGAAACCAAACCAATCCAATGCAAACCACACCAATGCAAACCAAAGCGGGGGAAAAAAAAAAAAAAAAAAACAAGAAAAACAAAAAACACATTGGACACACAGCCAGACCGGCCGTGCTGTTTTTCGCGTGTCTCCCCCTCCCGTTTCGGGTGTCCCTCGCGCGTTTCGTTTTTTTCTTTTTCTCCCGCCGGTTTCCTGCAGCTCCGCGGTCTGCTGGAGCCGCTCGAGCACCGCCTGGCCCGCGTCCTTGGCCAAGACCTGCAGCGTGGAGCGCACGAAGAGGGCCGTGATGAGGCGCAGGGCCGCAAAAACCACCAGGATCACATAGGTCCTTGGCTTCTTTGCGTTTTTTTTTTTGGGGGGGGGGGAGGTTTTGGTGGGGATGGGGGTTTTGGATCACATTGGTCCTTTGTCTTTACTTCTTTTTGATTTGGGGGGGGGGTGGGACCTGCCTGAGGCGGGGATGACATAGGTCCTTGGCTTTGGGTTTTGGGCCTGGCAAAGCCCAAGCTCAACCCAAGCAAACTAGTGAGTCGAAACTTGGGCGTGTCTTATTTTGAGGCTGCCTCTTCTTTGCTGGGAAACCAACAGGAACAAAACCATTTGGGGGGCACACTCACTTCGGACCCAGTAATTCGCCCTTCAAACACTTGCCAAGTTCGGAGCGCGTGTCAAGCAAGGCACCGCGTACCAATAACTCACATCCAGCAGAGGCCGCACATTGCTGGGCCAGCCACCACCTGCCAAATTTCACAACCTGCACGTTTCACCTTCGCTTGGTAAGGCCTGGGATCCTCTTCGGTGTTTGGCAAAAAACACTAAACTGTGAAAACTTCGGAAAATCGGTCTCGCTCGGGACAGAGCCGCTGAAGGTGATCTCGAAGAAGGTATACATTGACCTTGAGAAGGTACCGTATCGCTCATAGGTCCAGACTTTGAGGTCGTGATCCTTCCCGACTCTCGGGCAAAGGAGAATCGGATGTCCCTGGGCAAACAAACATTGGAACTTGATTTTTTTGGTAGTTGGCTTTAAACCGCCCGCATTAATATCTTTCTCCTTGGATTCCAACAGGTAGGGAATCACCGACTGGCAAAGAATCAGCGCGGCGATGAGCTGACAGATCAGCAGCATGATCAGGGACCAGCTTAACCTTCCAGTTGTTTTTTGGTCCCTGGAAAAAATATGATAAAATATGTCCAGCAGTGATGGGAATTGTTTAAAAGCAACAAGGGAAAACAGAAAAACAAATGCTCATTTCGGCAAATGGAAGTAACGCGGCGATGCTGGCGTAGAAGCTATCCATCAAGCTCCGGAGTTGACGAAAAAGACCGATCACCCGCAAGAGTCGGACGGACTTCACCACTCGCGTCAGCCGAAGCATCCTCCAAAAGACGATGTTTGGCAGTGAGTTTGAAGAAACTTGGGTAACCCCAAAATGGCTTGCTCTGGTGAATAGAAAATGGGCTCAAATCCTTTCGGTCCCCTGATTTTCACATGTTGACCCATACCCATTTGCCGCTTGGTGTGGGGGAGAGCTCCTCTAGGTTTGCTCACAGTTCCCTCACTTAAGTTGAACAAGACGTCCAGGAGGGCTCCCTAGTCCAAATCAGCTCGGCAGGTTTCCTGCGGCACTTGGTGCGCATGTGTCAACATGGAGACCCCCGAGAAATGCGTGTTCTCTTTTGTGTCCCTAAGCCATCCCAAACAGGGATACAAAAACACTGAGTGGGCTTTCAGATTCTTCCATTTGCCAATATGGGTTTGTATTTTTTACCAAGGGGTATGATTTGCAGGTATGATTCGGGGTATGCTTCGGGGGTATGATTCGCTGAAGCAGCAGCAGCAGCAGTACTAGTAGTAGCACCAGAAGCACTAGGAGTAGCAGTAGCAGTAGCAGTAGTACTTGCCGTCGTAGTAGTAGTAGTGGTAGCGCCGTAGGGGTGAGGGATCAAAAAAACTTATTAGGCATCAAAAAACTTATTTCTGAAGATCCAAAAAACTTATTAGGGATCAAAAACTTATTCTCATTGATTTACCATTAAAAATAAAAACATCAGAGGATCAAAAAAAACTTTTTAGGGATCAAACAAATACTTATTCATTTCGTGGCAGGCGAAGCACTTTCGCAAGGTCAGGTACAGATGTCGTGGCAGGCGCGGCACTTTCGCAAGGTAGGCGCAATGCTTTCGCAGGTCAGGTGCAGATTTCGCAGCAGACGCAGCACTTTCGCAAGGTGCGGTACAGATTGCGCGCCAGGCGCAGCACTTTCGCAAGGTCAGGTGCATATTTCGTGGCAGGTGCAGGACTTTCGCAAGGTGCGGTCCAGATTTCGCGGCAGGCGCAGCACTTTCGCAAGAGGTACCAATTTCGCGGCAGGCGCAGCACTTTTGCAAGGTCCCTCACTCACTCACTCCCTCACTACTCACTCCCTCACTACTCACTCCCTCACTCAATCTCGCTGGCTCACTTAACTTCTCGCTCCCCCGCTGCCTCACTCAGTCACTCCCTCCCTCCCTCCACTCTCTTGCTCACTGCCTCACTCACGCACTCCCTCACTCAATCAAATCAGTCACTCACTCTCTCACTGACACTCACTCACTCACTCCCGCCCTCCCTCCCTTGCTCACTCACTCACTCACTCACCCACTCACTCGCTCGCTCGCTCGCTCACTCACTCACTCACTCACTCACTCCCTCACTTCCTCCCCCCTCACTCACTCACTCACTCACTCACTCACTCACTCACTCACTCACTCCCTCACTCCCTCCCTCCCTCCCTCCTCCCTCACCTCCCTCCCTCCCCTCCCTCCCTCCCTCCCTCCCTCCCTCCCTCCCTCCCTCCCTCCCTCCTCCCTCCCTCCCTCCCTCGGATCAGCGTGAAAAAAGTGTCCCGGAATAGACTTGGAAAGGGGGCAAGCATTCTGTTGTCGACGCCGGGTAAGGTCTCGTTGGCTGTGCAAAAAATTGCTGAAAGGAATCAGCAAATCTGCTCTCGATGGGCAATCGCCAGGGCACACAATGCAGGAGAAAGCTGATTGCCAATTGTGGCTCCTCGAAAAGGTCGAGATCATCAAGGCGAATTTGTTCAAAGGAGGCCTTTGCCCCTATACAAGCGAAACTGTTGTGGACAAGTTAGCGTGGTTTGGCTTCGTGCCAGGATGCTAACACTCGGGATGTCATCGTTGCGTAGAACGATGCGCTCGTCATCCGAGATGGACTCAAAGAAATGATGGCATGGCATGGAAAACATGACGTGTCGTGAGCGTGGGAAGGAATGGCCATGAGCATGACATGTGTGGCATGAAATGTCGTGGTGACGTGTCATGACATGCCATGACATGAATGGCATCTGTGGTCCAGGGTAGTATAGTTTGTATATAGCAGTCGTAAAAGGTGCAGTTGTGCGCGATTTTATCCTCAGCGTTGTTGGGCCTCTTGCCACATGGTGGTGAGAAGTCGAATACCTTTTTGGCGCTCGCATGAAGGAAATGCGCATCTCTTCTGGCCGTGAACGAACTCCGGGTAACAGCAGGAGGCGATGCCGACATTGGGTGCAATGTAGCGGCAGCGGTGCCAAAGGTGTCCTATGTTGAACAGCAAGGACGAGAATGTGTCAAACCATTGTTCCACGGCAGCAACCGTCATCCCTCGGCACTGGTGAATGCGTCTTACTAACACAACTCTTGCTCTGTGTTTTTCCCCGAAAGCTAACTCAGGTCACCTGCTCGGGACTATTCACAGCTAACTCTGTAGTTATTCCGGGGACCAACGCAAGCCGCCTACCCCCTCGATTCTCCCTTTCTGCAACTACGTTATTTAAGTGGTTCAGTCATCTGGACTCAGGGGTTTTGGTGGTCAACAGTCAGTCATGGCAGAGCGAAGTGCTCATTATTTCTTCTTTCTGGCCATGGCCAGCAAGAACTACCTTTTCAAGTACTTCCCTTACCATGATAGGAAGCCAGGGCAGTTCACCGGAAGTAAACAGTAGAGGTTGAGCGCGCGAATGGTTGCGCCTGCACGCACTGGGTTTTGTGTTCAAGTCCTTTGGTTTAGTGTGGTATCCTGGTTTGCCTATGTTGATCCTTCATTTGGGAATCCATGCATATCCAGGCTCTGGCATTATTACACGCTTTGCAGATGCTGCCCACCTTAAACGATCCTCGCAGGGCCCACGAAGAAGAATGGGCGTTGGGAGTTGTCCGCAGTGAGGGGTAGCAGCACTGACTGCGGACAACTCTTGGACTTCGGACAAGTTTCCCGGGGTGACACAGTCCGTGGGTGGCCTTGAACACATGGGACGAGCGGATGGATGATGAAGGCCAAAGCAGTGAACAGTGGTCGCGCAAAGCAACCGGCGAAGGAAACGATGGGTCTGCCTGACAAAAACCCTCTTTGGGAGCGGCTGCAATGGCGCGGACGTGTGAGAAGACTTGGCACTAGCCTTGGGAAGCTCATTGTGCGGGTATGATTCGGGTATGATTCGCGGGTCTGATTTGGCTAGTTGCAGAATGGCATTGGTTACAAACTCAGAATGATGAATGTAGTAGTAGTGGTAGTGGTAGCAGCTGCAGTAGTAGTGGCAGCAGCTGTAGCAGAAGCAGCAGCGGCTGTAGTGGTGCGGAAGCTTTGTGAAAGACGTGGCAGTAGCCTTGGCAAGGGAAGGCTTGGCAAGGGAAGGTCATTGTCCGGGTATGATTCGCGGGTTTGCTTCGGCTAGTTGCAAAACAGAACATATTAAAAGCTGAGAATGAATGTAGTAGTAGTAGTGGTGGTAGTAGTAGCAGTAGTTAGTTTTGGCAGTAGTAAAAGTGGTAGTCGTAGTAGTAGTACGGGTAGCAGCAGAAGCAGAACTAGAAGCAGAACTAGTAGCAGTAGTAGTAGCAGCGGTAGTAGCGGTGGTGGTGGTAGTGGTAATAGTGTTCGTAGTAGCGGTAGCAGCAATAGTAGTAGTCGTAGTAGTAGCAGTAGCAGTAGCAGTAGCAGTAGCAGTAGCAGTAGCAGTAGCAGTAGCAGTAGCAGTAGCAGTAGTAGTAGTAGTAGTAGTAGTAGTAGTCGTAGTAGTAGTAGTAGTAGGTAGCGCTGGTGGTGGTTGCTGTGAAGGCTTTAAACAACACAAACGGTAGAACAAAAGTAGCATCTTGCAGCATACGTTTTAAGGGGTATGATTCGGGGGTGTGATTCGGGGTATGATTCAGGGGTATGATTCGGGGAGGTCCCACCTTCTGCCTTTTGAAGCAACTCCACAACAAAAAAAGACAAACCTATATGCCCCCTGGAAAACATGAGAACACATTCTTCCAGCATAGGAATTGCCTTTACGACCAACAGGGGGGGGGAACAAAAAACAAGTAGCCAACTCGATTTCCAGTGAAAAGAATCAAGGAAAATATTTCAGCGTCGCTGGCTTCAAAAACTGCGATTTTGCCGCCTGAGAAGGAGACTGCCGCGGGAGTCCCGCCCTTCATTCTCATTGATCTCCGCCGCCACCACCGCGTCGAAGACGCCGAAGGCCACGATGGCGAAGTCGCAGAGGTTGGTCCAGGCCACGCCATCCTGTCTCGGTTTCCTCGTTTTTTTTTTGTGTGGGCCCTCGCAAGGGACAGGGGATGCAAGTCCAAAAATTCAACAGGGATCCTTCTTTTTTCATCGGCCCTGGAGGACACTAGGCTGGAATTAGGGCCCCAGCAAAAAATTAGCATTTTTCCCGGTGGAAAACAAAGGGACCCCAAAAAAGCGGAACAAGCTAATTCTGGGGAAGGACACGGGACGCAAGTCCCCAATTCAACAAGGATCCTTACATTACTTACCTGGAGATTGCCTTGTAAATGGTGGTTTCCCTATATTTTGGTGGAAAAAGGCCATGTTCCAAATTGGCAAAATGTATGCTTTAAGGAGCCTAATTCAAGTTGCCGAACCTGGATCTGAATTCTAACTAGGGACCCTTTGCTGGACACCATTTGGGTAAACGGATCCATGTCCACCAACCACCTTGGAGGGTTCCCTATTAAACGTCATAGCCATTGTTGAGCCCTCGCGCAGGGCAGAAGACGCAACTCGTCGGGCTTACCTACAGGAAACATGGAATTCTTCAAAAGAAACCCCAGACCCGAAAGGGGGGCAAATCCCCGCTCCAGATTCATTTCATGACGGGGTTGAATCTTGAAGATATACATTGGATCCGCGTTTCGTCCTCAAAGTTCTCATGTTGGTAAATGGTAAATCTTTGGTGGAGAGTCTGCGCATGATACACGTTGTGTAAGGGTGGGCGCGTCTCAACTATGGCAACGCCTTCTGTTGGGCTGCCTTGAAACCAAAAAACAAGCGCAAAAATGTGGTTTTCCTGCCCAAACGCTGGTTCTGCTATCGGCTTGGGCCTGTTGGTTTTCCTGAAAAAACTCACAGCCCAGCTTGTTTCCCATGCCCAAAACCCCTTGGTACTGTCCACATTAGTTGGTGGGTGTTGAGCCACATTTGTCAAATTTCGACGCGCTTTCCTTCGAGATCAGCCATTCTTTGCCCAACACGCCAATGCGGAAGACCTGCTCCAGAGCATAGACGCTCAGGAAGAACAACCTGCGAGAAAGACGCAGCACTGGAGCGTATAAGGCAACCTTAAACGGGTGGGCTTTCCGCTTGGTATGGGGCCCGCGGTTTGGGTGCATTGATAGCCAAGGAACTCCAATCCAACCAGCTCGGTCGGGCGCCGCTCGAACTGATCCTGGCTGATCTCTCCTGCAAGAGCCTTGCCCAAGCGGTCGCCCAAGGTTTGAAGCCTTGGATAGGGAAGACGTTGTGGAGATGACCCTCCCACCAATTAACAGCTGGAACCGAAAAACGTTCGGGACCCGGCCCCGAACGTAAAAAGGAAAATGGTCCAAACCAGGACCCACCAATCAGGTTCCATGAAATTTGGTGGGAGATTCACCCCATTCTTTCGAGGAAGAAAGCACTGCTTGTGTCCTTCTCCACTTCAACCTTCAAAGTTATCAATGGAACGTTTGCTAAAATCTGCTCCAAAGGAAAACCGAGAAAACACACATCATTAGTGGTTGAATTTAAACACGCAGCACCCTTCCTAATCATTTAACCAGCGAGAAGAACTGTACACCAAACATTTCGCCGCTGACTCACAGTCTCATCAGCAAGAAACCTGCCAAAGTCTACAGTTTGACAGGTCAACAAGTGAGCCACAGATTCTGGCTGTTAACAGAAGCAGTGTAAAAAAGCGTCTGTGTTGGGGCACATCATATTCAAAAAACGGCAGACATATGGCTACGAATTTCTATGGGTCTGGAACGCGACGCGGCACGAATCATGTTACGGAGGTCTGTAACGGAGGTCCTTGTTACGCAGGTCTGTAACGGGAAAAACATTTCGTGACAAGCAGAATCAGGAGCTCATCAACGCAAGCCAAGCTGCGGCAAAAAGCAGGGTCGCTGGCCCGTGCTGGGGTCTGTAACAAGGTATGTGGCGGCTATGTGACCAGGTCTGTAACGAGGCAAAGCAAAGCGCTGGCCCGGGCTGGGGTTGGATCTGCAACGAGGTATGTAACGGCTATGTAACAAGGTCTGCAACAAGGCAGAGCAAAGCACCAAGCCAAGCTGCGGCAAAAAGCAGGGTCGCTGGGGTCGCAACGGTTTTTGTTTTCCTAGGAGTGGCTTTTTCCTAGGAGTGGCTCACTGCTAGGAGTGGCTTACTGGTGGACAGTGGCCAAGTGTGTAACTGTGGCAGTGGAAGCCAGGCTCGCTGCTAGGAGTGGCTGACGGGTCAAGATTTAATTTAGTTTTTTGTTTTATGTTGGGTTGTTTCCGTCCTGGCTACTAGAATGCCGTAATTTACAGCATTTTCTCGCGAAATGTACACATCATCAGCATCGTTTTCAACATCCCCCGCATGTCCAGCCAACATCCCCAGCATCACCATCAAAGCGAGGGCCTTGGCTTCCTGCATCTTCAGCATCATCAGTTCCTCTGCGGGGGATTCAAATACGGGCAAACTAATCCCTGTAAAACACATAAAACGCATGATGATTGAAAAAGTGATGATTGAATTAGGGGTGCATTTTAATTTCTGCCCAACATCAAAAGGTAGCGGGCGGCTTGGGGGGGGGGGGGGCGGCAGCCCTCATGCTGTTCAAAAAGTGATGATTCAATTAGGGGCAACACATCTAAAAAGCAGTGGGGGGGTTGGGGGGGGGGGTGGGGGGGGGGGGGGGGGGCAGCAGCCCCCCCCATGATGATTGAAAAGGTTGTGATTCAATTAATCTCTGCCCAAAATCCAAAAAGTAGCGGGGGGGTTTGGGGGGGAGGGGGTGGCAGCCCTCGTGGTGATCAAAAAAGTGATGATTCAATGAGGGGCAAAAAATCTACAGCCCCCCATGATGATTGAATAAGTGATGATTCAATTAAAGGCGCGGGGGGAGGTTGGCGGGGGCGGCAGCCCTTTCTTTGATGATCGAAAAAGTTACGATTCAATTAGAGACAAAAAATCTAAAAAATAGCGGGGGGGTTGGGAGGGCGGCAGCCCCCCCATGATGATTGAAGAAGTGATGATTCAATTAGGGGCAAAAAATCTTAAAAATTAAAGGACCGGATAACCCCACATGCTATGTTTTTCCCAAGGATGTGAGTTCAAATGTCCACACACATGTACCGTGCGCCCCTTGTATGGATGCGATTACAGAGCACCCAGATGCACAGAATGCAGTGCCTGCCACGACTTCGGCAACGGCATCGCCAAAGTGCTGCGCCTGCCACGATTTCGCAACGGCATCGCCAAAGTGCTGCGCCTGCCACGATTTCGCACACCCCCCGCCGCGCGCGCGACAACATCCTGTCCCTCTAGACAGCTGCCGAATGCGACCCCTGCCACACAAACACACACCCAGATGCACAGAATGCTGCGCCTGCCACGACTTCGGCAACGGCATCGCCAAAGTGCTGCGCCTGCCACGATTTCGCAACGGCATCGCCAAAGTGCTGCGCCTGCCACGATTTCGCACGCCCCCCGCCGCGCGCGCGACAACATCCTGTCCCTCTAGACAGCTGCCGAATGCGACCCCTGCCACACAAACACACACCCAGATGCACAGAATGCTGCGCCTGCCACGACTTCGGCAACGGCATCGCCAAAGTGCTGCGCCTGCCACGATTTCGCAACGGCATCGCCAAAGTGATGCGCCTGCCACGATTTCGCACACCCCCCGCCGCGCGCGCGACAACATCCTGTCCCTCTAGACAGCTGCCGAATGCGACCCCTGCCACACAAACACACACCCAGATGCACAGAATGCTGCGCCTGCCACGACTTCGGCAACGGCATCGCCAAAGTGCTGCGCCTGCCACGATTTCGCAACGGCATCGCCAAAGTGCTGCGCCTGCCACGATTTCGCACGCCCCCCGCCGCGCGCGCGACAACATCCTGTCCCTCTAGACAGCTGCCGAATGCGACCCCTGCCACACAAACACACACCCAGATGCACAGAATGCTGCGCCTGCCACGACTTCGGCAACGGCATCGCCAAAGTGCTGCGCCTGCCACGATTTCGCAACGGCATCGCCAAAGTGCTGCGCCTGCCACGATTTCGCACGCCCCCCGCCGCGCGCGCGACAACATCCTGTCCCTCTAGACAGCTGCCGAATGCGACCCCTGCCACACAAACACACACCCAGATGCACAGAATGCTGCGCCTGCCACGACTTCGGCAACGGCATCGCCAAAGTGCTGCGCCTGCCACGATTTCGCAACGGCATCGCCAAAGTGCTGCGCCTGCCACGATTTCGCACACCCCCGCCGCGCGCGCGACAACATCCTGTCCCTCTAGACAGCTGCCGAATGCGACCCCTGCCACACAAACACACACCCAGATGCACAGAATGCTGCGCCTGCCACGACTTCGGCAACGGCATCGCCAAAGCTGCTGCGCCCTGCCACGATTTCGCAACGGCATCGCCAAAGTGCTGCGCCTGCCACGATTTCGCACGCCCCCCGCCGCGCGCGCGACAACATCCTGTCCCTCTAGACAGCTGCCGAATGCGACCCCTGCCACACAAACACACACCCAGATGCACAGAATGCTGCGCCTGCCAAGACTTCGGCAACGGCATCGCCAAAGTGCTGCGCCTGCCACGATTTCGCAACGGCATCGCCAAAGTGCTGCGCCTGCCACGATTTCGCACGCCCCCCGCCGCGCGCGCGACAACATCCTGTCCCTCTAGACAGCTGCCGAATGCGACCCCTGCCACACAAACACACACCCAGATGCACAGAATGCTGCGCCTGCCACGACTGCGGCAACGGCATCGCCAAAGTGCTGCGCCTGCCACGATTTCGCAACGGCATCGCCAAAGTGCTGCGCCTGCCACGATTTCGCACGCCCCCCGCCGCGCGCGCGACAACATCCTGTCCCTCTAGACAGCTGCCGTGAGTCAGCGAGTGTGAGTGAGTGAGCGAGTGAGTGAGTGAGAGTGAGTGAGTGAGTGAGTGAGTGAGTGAGTGAGTGAGTGAGTGAGTGAATGAGAGTGAGTGATTGAGAGTGAGTGTGAGTGAGTGAGTGTGAGTGAGCGTGAGTGAGTGAGTGAGTGAGTGAGTGTGAGTGAGTGTGAGTGAGTGAGTGTGAGTGAGTGTGAGTGACTGAGTGTGAGTGAGTGAGTGTGAGCGAGTGTGAGTGAGTGAGTGTGAGTTGAGTGAGTGTAAGTGAGTGAGTGAGAGTGAGTGAGTGAGTGAGTGAGTGAGTGAGTGAGACGGAGACGAGCGGGAGAAGGAGAAGGAGACGCGGCGCGCGGACGACGAGCGGAAAAAGTAATTAAAGGACCGGATAACCCCACATGCTATGTTTTTCCCAAGGATGTGAGTTCAAATGTCCACACACATGTACCGTGCGCCCCTTGTATGGATGCGATTACAGAGCACCCAGATGCACAGAATGCAGCGCCTGCCACGACTTCGGCAACGGCATCGCCCAAGTGCTGCGCCTGCCACGATTTCGCAACGGCATCGCCAAAGTGCTGCGCCTGCCACGATTTCGCACGCCCCACGCCGCGCGCGCGACAACATCCTGTCCCTCTAGACAGCTGCCGAATGCGACCCCTGCCACACAAACACACACCCAGATGCACAGAATGCTGCGCCTGCCACGACTTCGGCAACGGCATCGCCAAAGTGCTGCGCCTGCCACGATTTCGCAACGGCATCGCCAAAGTGCTGCGCCTGCCACGATTTCGCACACCCCCCACCGCGCGCGCGACAACATCCTGTCCCTCTAGACAGCTGCCGAATGCGACCCCTGCCACACAAACACACACCCAGATGCACAGAATGCTGCGCCTGCCACGACTTCGGCAACGGCATCGCCAAAGTGCTGCGCCTGCCACGATTTCGCAACGGCATCGCCAATGTGCTGCGCCTGCCACGATTTCGCACGCCCCCCGCCGCGCGCGCGACAACATCCTGTCCCTCTAGACAGCTTCCGGATGCGACCCCTGCCACACAAACACACACCCAGATGCACAGAATGCTGCGCCTGCCACGACTTCGGCAACGGCATCGCCAAAGTGCTGCGCCTGCCACGATTTCGCTACGGCATAGCCTAAGTGCTGCGCCTGCCACGATTTCGCACACCCCCCGCCGCGCGCGCGACAACACTAGACAGCTGCCGAATGCGACCCCTGCCACACAACCACACACCCAGATGCACAGAATGCTGCGCCTGCCACGACTTCGGCAACGGCGTCGCCAAAGTGCTGCGCCTGCCACGATTTCGCAACGGCATCGCCAAAGTGCTGCGCCTGCCACGATTTCGCACAACCCCCCGCCGCGCGCGCGACAACATCCTGTCCCTCTAGACAGCTGCCGAATGCGACCCCTGCCACACAAACACACACCCAGATGCACAGAATGCTGCGCCTGCCACGACTTCGGCAACGGCATCGCCAAAGTGCTGCGCCTGCCACGATTTCGCAACAGCATCGCCAAAGTGCTGCGCCTGCCACGATTTCGCACGCCCCCCGCCGCGCGCGCGACAACATCCTGTCCCTCTAGACAGCTGCCGAATGCGACCCCTGCCACACAAACACACACCCAGATTCACAGAATGCTGCGCCTGCCACGACTTCGGCAACGGCATCGCCAAAGTGCTGCG